CATTTTGTGTTTTTATTTCATGGGTTGCCAGGCCAAAGAATTCATCACCTAATAGGCAGCCCCCTGGAAATAAAGCTTGCCTTCACATTCCTTCCAACCTCATTTCACCTAGGTAAAAATAACAAGATCTTACATCATCTGGTACTTTACAGTGATAAAGCACTTCCCCTCACATGTTAATTAGTCAATTACATCCTGACCTTGTGCGTATAGGGGAGATAGGGCAGGCATTATTTTCATTTAATAGATGAGGAAACTGAGGCCAATTTCCATTTCTTCATGACCACCGAACGATACTGATAACTATACACTCATGGGGAGACTGTCCCCCAACCCTCACTGACTTTTTTTTTTATTTTTGTTTTTGGTGAGGCAGTTGGGGTTAAGTGACTTGCCTAGGGTCACACAGCTACCTCATTGACTTTTTAAAGTCATAAGCTAGTCATAATGATTCAGATATAATAACAAATGATAGATAAGGGAAATTGATCCTGCTTTTATTGAGTTCAAAGTGGTTCTGACATAGATGGGGAACTGGGGCAATATTGTTATTGGGATCCTCTTGTGGTTTCTGTTCTCTTCTGTCTTCCACTCTGGCTCTTATATGTGATTTTCCCTTTTAAAGCTTGTCTGTCCCCTAATCTTTTAGCCCAGTATGTCCCTCCATCTTTCACACTAATTGCCTTATTTAAGAGGAAGTACGGTACAGCGGAAAATAAATTAGATTTTAAGTCAAAGGACTCGGATTCAAATCCTAGCTACATCACTTAACCCCCCAGCATAACCTTGGACAAGTCGTTTCATCTCTGCATCTATATTTCCCTTTATGTAAAAGGAAAAGATGGCTGACTGAAAGGGAAGCAGACTGCCAAGCTAGCAAATGTCTATTCCAGTAAAGGCCTGAATCTTACACCAGTCTGAATAATCATCAAGAAATCCAGCGAAGGGGAAGTTAGGTGGCACAGTGGATAGAGCATCAGCCCTGAAGTCAGGAGGGCCTGAGTTCAAATGTGGCACACACACACACACACACACACACACACACACGAATCCGGTAGAGAACTACCATGACTTGTCCCATCCCAGAACTGCACAAAAGTCTGCCAGGCGCCCAATGGCAATAGGGCCACTTCCAAAACCAGAGTCACCACAGGCTAGCCTCCCAACGGGACTAGAGCAGGCCAGGGCCACGGGTGGCCTTTGAGGCTCTGTGTACAGAGGCAGCAAAAGCAGAGGACCCCCTTGAGAAAACCCCAACGTGGTCAGAAAGCCTGAGAGTGAAGGCTTTCGAAGCCAAGGGAGCAAGAACCCAGTGGCAGCAACCGGCAAAGCAAGAGGACGCTGAGACTGGGGCTCTGACATCCCTAGCACTTTGTCCTGAGACGTCAGAAAAGGCCTTCAAGATCCAGTGCTCTGAATTCAGAAACCCAGGAGGGGCCTAACCCTTGGTTATACTTGTCCCTGGGAAGTGAAAGTCAAAACAGGAATCCAGGAAACCCAGGGCAAGATCAAAGAGGGCCAAGCATCACAGCCCAGAGTGCAGCAAGGGATGGTGCCTGGCCCTAGCATAAAGGTCCAATTCAGGAACTAAAGCTGGAGAGATGAATACATTTTTAAAAATATTGACCAGTATAAAAAAGTATTACAAATCTAAGGAGTCTCCCAAAAGAGAATGACAACTCTGTAACAATTGCAAACTCAAAAGAAAAAATACAGATTTTTCCACAAGGACTACATGAATACTTAGAAGAAATGAAACAGTGAATAAGAAAAAATGAAATTAAAGCTCTGGAGGAAAAAAACTGGAAGGAAAATAAATAGTTTAGAAGAGAGTGGTAAACATTACCCAAGAAAATCTTACTCCCTGAAAACTAGAATAGCCCAAACAGGAATCAGTCGCTCCACGATAGTAAGAAATATTAGAAAATCAAAATATTAAAAACATAAAAGAAAGTATAAGATATCTGACATGAAAAATAACTGACCTAGAAAACAGGTCAAGGAGAGATAATTTAAGAATTGTTGAACTTAGAGGACTGAAGATGAAACACTATACCCACCTCCTACCAAAGAGGTATTGAAATTAAAGTGCAGAGTCACATACGTTTTTTGGACATAGGCTCTAGAAATTTGTTTTGCTGGACTATGTATATTTGTTAAAAAGTTTTTATTTCTGTTGTTTTAACTGTTCAAGTGGAGGAGGGGCAGCGAATGGGAAATCAATGCTTGTCAAAATAAATAATTTTTAGAAAAAAAGAATCATTGGATTAGCTGAAAAAATTATCCTTTTTTAAAAACTCCAGTCACTATACTTCAAGATATAAATAAAAATCTCCTGCATCCATTAGAACCAGTGGACAAAGTGAAGATAGAATTCACCAACCACTTCTTGAAACTCTCAAAGAAATCCAAGAAATGTCATAGACAAGATCAAAAGCTGCCATGTCAAAAAAAAGTACCAAAAGATCACGGACAATCACCTAAGACCTGGAAGGAAACCCCTACAGTAAAGGAGAGACTTTGGCATACAAATATTCCAAAAAGCAAAAGAGATAGACTTAGAACCAAGAATAATTTAACTTCACAAAGTCAAACATAATCCTACAGGGGGAAAATGGACCTTTTAAGGAGTATAGGACTTTTAAGCATTTCTGATGAAAATAAAAAAGCTGAGTAGAAACTTTGAAATACAGGCACGAAAGTCCAAAGAAACACAGAAAGGAAAACTTATTTGAATAATTGGAAGGAGCTATAGGATGATGCAGTGCTAATATTCTAACAGGAGAAGAAAAGTATCCCAGCAAAAATTTAATGTCTTCCTTATGATGGAAAATGCTAACCACATCCAGAAAAAGAACTATGGAGTCTGAATACAGATGGAAGCATACCGTTTTCACTTTTGTTTTTTCTTTCTTGTGGTTTTTCACTTTTATTCTGATTCTTTCACAACATGGCTAATATGGAAACATGTTTAACATAACTGTACATCTATAACATATCAGATTGCTTGCTGTCTTGGGGAGGGGAGAGGGAAGGGAGGGAGGAAGAAAAATTTGGAACTCAAAATCTTACAAAGATGAATGCTGAAAACTATTTACATGTAATTGGGAAAAAATACAGTTTAAAAGAAAGAAATTTAATGTCTTCAAAGGGCTTTAAGGGAGTTAAATGAAAAACAGAGGTCTTCAGAATGGATTAGTTCTGTTTTGAGGGCTTAAAGAAAGGAAAGACGTAAGGGTAAAACACACGTACAAAGGAGGAAGAAGGGGGTAGAACTTCCTAGTTTGCATGTTTGGGGTGCAGAATATATAAACATGAAGGAAGGAAGAAGTTGAACTGTGTATCATCTGTCATTTTTATCTGAAATGGAAGAGAAGAGGGTGAAACTCATTAAATATGCACACAGTTTGGTATAGAAATACATCAGACTCAAGGAGGAAAAAAGCAGGGATAGGAGAGGAGTTAATGGTACTGTTTTAAGAATGACTTTGAGGGCAGGTAGGTGGCGCAGTGGATAGAGCACCGGCTCTGAAGTCAGGACGACCTGAATTCAAATCCGACCTCAGACCAACCACTTGTCACTAACTAGCTGTGTGACCCTGGGCAAGTCACTTAACCCCAATTGCCAAAAAAAAAAAAAAAAAAAAAAAAGAATGACTTTGAGTGACTAAGTCATTTTGACTATTATACACAAATTAAAAATAAACGACATATGAAGAAACACTTTCTGCATCCAGAGAAAGAACTGATGAATAGAAATATGTATAGAATAATTTTACATATATATACCTATTTGTGTCTAATGGTAGCCATCTCTAGGGCAGGGGAAAAGTGGGGAGAAGGAAAAAAAAAAGAAGAGGGAGAATACCTGGGAGGGAATGGCTATAAGCAAAACTGCCAGCCTTAAAAACAAAAGAAGGGGAAGGAAACAAAGAACTAGAGGCTAAAGGGGTACCCTAAAATGCCCCCTAAATAACTGTGGAATGGATGAACAAGTTGTGATATATGAACCTATGAGAATATTATCGTATTGTAAGAAATAATCAAAGAGGCAATTCAGAAAATGCTGGATAGTATGAACCTATGCAGAGTGAAATGAGCTGAACTAGGAAACCAATTTATATGAAGAACTACTATAAAGAAAAAGACTCTGAAAGACTCAAGAACATGCAATGCAATGTCTCCAGAGGACTTACAGATGAAGTATGTTATTCATCTCCTGATGGAGAGGTACTGGACACAAGGTGAAGAAACATAAGTATTTGTGGACCTAGCCACTGTGTGAACTCATTTTGCTTGACTATGCTTATTCCTTTCAAGAGTTTTGTGTTTTTCTTCCTGTTAATTAGGGAGGGAAGGTTTTGGGAGGGAAGAGGAGAAAGCTTGCATTAGTAACACAAAAGAAAAAGAGGCCCATTAAAAAGGTTTGTTTTTTTAATTAATGCACAAAAGGAAGAACAGACAAGAAGGGCAGTTTTGAAGTTAACAGAATTTGTTCTACACTTTTAAAAAAATGCAAGTAATATGAAATGGAGATTTAGGATTTCATAGAGATTCCTTTGCACAATCTGCTATGTGTATTTAAGTTTAGAGTATAAAAATAAATAGAATGAAGATGTTGGTATAATGACTTCTAAGGTCCTCTAAGCCTATGATCCTATGTGAAAATTTGAAACAACCAAGATTGAATAGACTGCCTCCCTAAACACTGGTCTCCTTCTCCACAGGCCCTACCAAATCACCAGCATTTGATAACATCAGTTACTTCTTACTAGATGTGCTGGGTTAGGACTGTTGTGATTTTTTAAAATTTTGATCCCGGTAACTTTATTTCCTAGTGAGGAATGTGCCTCACTAGGAACATTAATATTTGATTCAAGTACAAGAATCCAAGAATATTTATACTTGATTCTCATTCATTACAAGGTGGGGACAGATCAAAGAGAAACAAAATGCCCAGGATGGGCCCTAGAGGGAGCTAGGCACACCAAGAGACTGAGGCAATAGCATAAATAAAGATTTTATTTTGGGGGGCAAGGGGTGGGGGGAAAGAGTGGAGGGTACCTTTTCCTTTACCTGTCACATTCCTTACCTCCCCCCCCCCCCAGTGCCCTCACTGTGGCAGGAAGAGCAGCTGAGCCAGCTAGTGATGTCAGGAACCCCAGATGGTAATGAGTGGGGTGAGGAGGGGAGGGATGGAGTCCTCCATGAAGTCAACTTGGGCTACCAAAACCGGAACCATCGTCTTAGGAATGAATCCAGGATGGAAGAGCTGTCCCCTAAGTCTGGAGGCCGTGGGGTGCCTGAATCTGGAGGAAAGTGATACATCCAGGTAGGAAGGGATGAACCAGAAGTGTGTCAGATGGAGTATCTTGAATTCTAGGCTATTTGCTGTTCCCTGTAAAATACCTTTCTTCCCCTAGCTCCAGGCCTTTGCAAGGGCTGATCCCCTTGCCTGGTTGAGTACCCTCTAAGACAAAATAACTCTGGGTGCTTTTATTTACTTACCTGTGTACATGTGGTTTCCCCCATTAGAATGTGGCACTCTTAAGGACAGAATGATTTTATTTTTGTCTTTACCTCCCCAGGGTATGACACAGTAGTAGGTGTTTAATAAAGGTTTGTTGATTGTATTTAATTGAGAGGTCAAGAGGGGAAAAGGGGAACAGGATAGAGCCTGATACAGTGTAGGAAGGAACTAGGGAGAGCAAAAGGGAGAGAATTAAGAGGAGAAGACAGCCCAACTAACTCAGCTTCTCCTTCAAGAGCCTTTCACCCCTGTAGCTCAGGGATGGTCTCACCATTGCCTTCCCTCCCCAACTCACCATCTCTAGAACTGCCATCTGCTTCTCGACGGGTTACCGTGGTTTCTTTGTGGCCCTCACTATCCACAACAGTGCGTCGCTCCTCCACCGTCTGTGGGTCACCCCACTCATTCCAGATCAGAACAGATGACATTTTCCATGGACCCCAGCCCTTCATGATCCCCCCAACCCCAACCCATCCCATCTAGCTCACCCCATCTGGTCCAGTGATTTTAGTAACGGAGACACTTCTGAAGTACGATTTAGGCTGGGGCTGTAGGACTTGACCCAGGCCCTCCTGTGAGACCTGGGAATCAAGATCTGGTTGGGGGTGGAAGAGGAGAGATAAGGCATTAAAAAAAAAAGTGGGGGGGCGGGATATCAGATACTCAGGAAGCAAGATGGAAATGTTCTGGGTCAAAAAGTGAACCTGAGTGTAAGGGTGTGTGTAAAAATTCAGACAAGGTAATCAGGGACCCCTTCCCTCAGACTTACCCCTGTCCTCTCTAGTTGCAGTATCAGAGGTCACTGGCCACATGTCATCAAACTGCAAAAGGAGCCACAGCTGATGAAAGGGGCCCCTTCTGAAGAGAAGCAACCCATCGCCTCCCCAACTCCATCATCTGCCCTGCCCCACCTTCCTGAACTACCCTCTACCTCGGGGCTCACTGTGGTATAGTGACAAGGGCAATGAATGTGAAATCAGGGGACCGAGGTTTGAATTGTGGCTCCACCACTTATTGTTTCTGTGACCTTGGACAAATCACAAGGCTCACTTCTTTGGGTCTATCCCTTTATCTGTAAATGGTAGACTAGATGTAGACTGGATGACCTCTGAGGTGTCTGACCTTGCCCCGCCTTCCTGGGCTCACCATTCCCCACCTTGCCAAGCTCGGCCCCTCTCAAGCCTGCTTTGCCCTCACAGGGCCGCGGCACTAATGTACTAATGTTTAAAGTTCTGCTAGGTTGGACTATCAGTCTTGGAAGGTGCATGTTCTGTCTCCTCCATTAGACTAAGAGTTCCCTGAGATTTAGGAATCTCATCCCAGGCGATTTCTCTCAAGTCCCTCAGGCAAAGGTTTACTGGGTTTTCAAGGGCAACAGGACTCACCCCAGGAAAAGGCCTCTTGGAGTCCCAGTCTGGGACTACTTTGGGAGATGGCTGCCCCAGATCACTCTCCGAGTCCCGGCTGAAAATCCTAGCCCGGTGACTGTCTGGATACTTGAGCATCGAATCCCGGATGGTTTCCCCCTCCCTGTGCCTCTCGTTTGGGGCCTCTGGCTCTGGGCCCGGGAGCTCTGCAAAAGGAGAATGGAAAATCAGGGCTGGGGTCGGGGGCAGCCTTGGGTTTCCTCTGCCTCCCCAACGTCATTTCTCCGCTAGTCCCCTCACACCCTTCTCCTTCGTGCCCCCCAACTCTGTCCGTGCTGCAGTACTGGAGGCCAGGTATCAAAGTGCTGAGGGGGCCACACCCACCAGGGGGGCGGGAGGGCAGGGTCCAGGCCCCCAGGTCTCCGAAAATACGATTGAAATCCCGAATCAGTTCGTCAAAGCCAAAGTTATCGTGGAAACGCATCTCGTCTTCAAGGCCAAAACTAAAGCCAAAAGTGAAGTCTTCGGGGGACCTGGGGCTTCCAAACCGGGGACCCCAGGCACCTCCTCCTCCTTCTTCCTCCTCATCTTCATCATCATCTTCTCTAGTCATCCCTCCAAAGAAAGGATCCCTGGGTCTGAGAGGTGGAGAAAGAGCCACAAAGATGTCCACACCGAGAGGCAATTAAAGCAAGCCGGCAGCTCGGGGTCGGGGGGGGGGGGGGGCTGGGAACGTCGGGGTTCTTAGGCGTTGTGCACTGGTGTTTTTGTCAGAGTGTGCAGTTGGGGCCACACGCCCCCCACCCCCCACCCCCCGCCGCCGCCACCACCTGTTGGGATAGCTTGGCTGGGTGTACCATATGGTCCGGGGAGATGGAGGGAGGTGTTTGGCCTCCCTGTCGGAAGGCCACCCCCCCCTTACCCGTTCGAGCCCCACTCTCACCTCTGAGGCCCCGGGAATCCGAAAAAGCCCCGAAAAAGGTCGAACAGGCTCATCCCTCAGGCGGGACTCGAACCCTTCACCTCCCCGTAACCCAAGGCCCGGGAGGGCACCGGAAGGCCAGGATCCGCCACACTGCCGGAAAGTGATCTTAGGACCGAGGGTGGGCGGGTCGGTCCCGCCACACTGCCGAAAAGCGAGAGGGCAGTACGACCGCACTACCGGAAAGCGAGAAGGGCGGGCGGACCAGCCACATTACAGTTGATCTAGACTTTAAGGTAGTCCCGACACTGATGAAAAAGTAGTCATAATGTCGTAAAACGAGCGTGAGAGCGGGCTCATGGGAAGGTGGGAGAGACGAGACCGGGAGGGAGGCTGGACCAAGGGGTGGGGCGATAGACTGGAGGTGGGACAGAACTGGAGGGAGGCGGAGCATGTCCGAGGCGAGGCGGAGGAGGACGGGGTTTCACTCCCGTGAAGAGATTCATAGTTCAGTACCGGCGGCTTCCCGGTTGTTAGGGTCTTCTTGTCTCGCAGAGGAGAGGCTTTCATGGAAGCAGAATCCCTGCATCCTTCCATCCGTCCGTCTTTGCCCTCCCGGCCGCTCCCCGGCGGGGGGGGGGCCTTTAGGGATCGCACCCGGGGTGGCATCGGCTCAGCCCCTGCTCCCCGGCCCTACTGCATTGAGTGATTGACGCCCCCAGCCCCTCCAGAGGCTTTGTCTCTACCGAAGACCCTACCATTCTAGAGTCCAGAAGCCCTGCGTTATGTGAGGGGAGGAGGGAAGAGAACAGCCCGTGCAACAGGAAACCCGGGACCCCTTGGGCCGGAGTTGTTGCGGGACCTCGGGCAGGAAGAGGTTGGAACTCGGTCTGGTCAGGAAACCTAAGCCAGAAACAGTGCAGGGCCTCGGCACAACCCTACATTTCGAGGGCAGCCAGGTGGTGCAGCGGATAGAGTACCGGCTCTGGAGTCAGGAGGACCCGAGTTCAAATGCGGCCTCAGACACATGGAAAGTCACTAGCTGTGTGACCCTGGGAAAGTCATTTAACCCCAATTGCCTCCCAAAAAAAAATATAAAAAAACCCCTAAATTTCAAGGCGCCCTCCCACAGTCCACCCCCCGCCTGACCAAGTTGCCCCCAAAGCCTTGCAGGATATCTGGGCTGAACCGAGATCTCCTTTGAGAGAAACAGGGGAAGACTCATCACCGGGGCCAAGCGAATAGGGTTGTCCCGCCAGCCCCTGGTGGTTAGCAGAAGTTGTTTACATCAGAACGGGACATGAGAAGCTGGGGAAACTCCTCAGTGGAAGAGTACTTGGGTAAGCTGTGTGTCCGGGCAAAAACAAAACCTCAATAGAACTGGGCCCCTCACTGGACGAGATCCAGGTGACCGTCTCCAAGGTGCCTGTCAGTTCTGACGTTTTAAAATTCTGATTCTTGACAGGCTGGTATGTCTAAAAGCAAGGAGATGTTCAAGACATCTTCAAAGTGCTTTCTATGTTCACAAAGGCAATTGGAGACATAAGACAGATTTACTCCATCCTCACTCTTAATTATTAAACTTTGTGGGAACAAAAGGGTTAAGCTTTCCTTTGGCCCCTAGGGTAGCACAGATCCTGGAAGTAGGGAGAACAATGATTCGATGGAAAGGGAAGCTGGAGTTGTGTGGTGCCCCCCCCCCCCAAGTATGCTCTCTATTCCCACTGCTTTCTACCTAAACAAGACCCTCAATGAGATAAGTTCAGGAGCCTCTTTGGGAGAACAGTAAGAACTAGTATGTCTTCAACCCCAAGGAAAAAGAACACCACAAACTGGTTCTGCCAGTGTTGTGTACCCTTCTCCTGGGTGCTTCCCAAGTAATCTGTTTAGAGCAGCCCATGTTCCATTGCTTTTCTGTCTGAAAACATTGTTTCCAACCCAGTTTCTCCCCACTGCCCTTCTCACTCCCTAGTTTAACACTAAAGGTGAGATGCTTCTGAGAACTGAGCTGAATGACTGTCAGGGTCAGGAAGAAGGGGACACCGGCACATCATAGTTAAGAGTTGTTAAAGGGCGAAGATTTCATTTTATTCCACTGCCTTCGGAGCCTGCTAGTAGAGGCCCAGTTGGTACAGTAATACTTATTCACCCAGCTGGTCATCAGGGAGACTGAGGACATCCTAGACGAAGCAAGAATGGGCAGAGGCTGAAGGTAGAGGTTTTCTTTTTATATATACAAGACACATTAATCCATTAAATTTGAGGACACAGTACAAAAAAAACCACTTCAACTAATTCATCTGACAATTCTGTTCATATTCATGACTTTTTTGTTTTGTTTTCCTAATAATAAAAAGGGAGACTTAGGGCTGTTGGGCTGATGATATCTATTTGGAGTCCTCTCCCCCAGCCACTTCCCACCACCAGGGTGAGCAGGAAGAGGAAGAGGAAGGCCAGAGCCCACAGCCCACAGCAAAGAGTTTCATAATCTTGAATGCAGGGGTAATGTAGGGAGAGAAGAAAAAAGAGAAAGGAAAAAAATACAAATCCTATATTACATACAAGAGGATAGGTAGGAGAGGAAAGAAATGGGCCTTCAGAAGTGAAGCTGAGGCCTGGGGCAGGCTGCGGGGGCGCAGCAGGACCCTCCGCTCCACGTGCTTTTGTGTTGTAGCTGTTTCCTTAGGTGCCAGGCTGAGAGGCCCTCTCGGCAGGTAGGGGGGCCAAGGAGGTGAAGAGGGCCAGGGCCTCAGTTGGCCCCCCAGCTGTAGCTGTTGTAGGCAGACTTGCTGCTCTGGGGCTTCTGCGGGATGGAGCTGGTCTGGCTACGTTGCCCGCTGCCCGTCTGCAGGGGAAGGGATATTGGGGTGGGGGGAGGACAGGGAGGAGAAAGGAGGCCAATTAGCAGGGACCTTTTGGTGGGAAGGCCTGGGAACTGTCATGTTCCTCCATTTCTCCTCCTGCCAAAAGATCATTCAAAGGCTACACTCTCCCTTAAGCCCTTAATCCAAAGAAGTTGTTGTCTGCATAATCGGTGAAACCCTTGGAAGTTCTAGTCCCTCTCCGGTCAGCAATAGCACAATTCTGATTTCAAGACAAGAAGAAAATGCAGAGGGCAAGATGCCTTCAGAACTCATTTAAGGGACTAAGTCAGTTTCTGCTCATTCTCCATCTTACCCCTCCCATCTCACCAAAAAGGCCACTCATCTGGAAAAAGATTTCTCAGATGAGTGATCCAAGAGCTGCTTTAACTGATTTTGATCTGTGTGACTCCTTATTTGCACTGCCTTAGAAATAAGGCAGTTGGAAACAAGGGAGCACAGCATTCTGCTGTGGAGATAGGGCACTAACAGAATGGGCTCCACAACACCCCTTCCGCCACCCCACCCCCATCACATCAATGGACCCCTATATACTAAGCAGGGTAGTGCGGGGAGACTTGTCTACGGCCTCCAAGATTCAGATGCTTTCCCAAGAACCCTATCCACTCTAATAGCCAAGTGCCATCTACAATTGGGAAGAGAGAAAAGGAGAGGAGGAGAAGGGAAGGGGAGGCCGGAGAGCCCAGCAAGATGTGTGAGTGTGTCTATGTGTGTCTGTGTATCCCGATTTGTGGCCGCGCAATCTTTCTTCTCCTTGATTTCCCCAGGGCTGTGGCAAGTGGGGTTTGGGACTGGCAGGGGGTAGGTACAATTATATCATTCAGAGAGTTTCATTACCTGCTCCTCCTGCTGGCGCTGGCAACAGAGAATCATCTGCAAATATGGTAGCTGAGGCAGAACCAGGATATATGGAAAATAAAGGGACAAACTTTGACAATAGAAATCCATGGTTAGAAGGGAAAGCTATAGTGGCAGGATTGGGGAGGGGTAGGGCATGGTCCAGGGCTACTGGGAAAATATAGGGGACAAAGTGTGCCACAGTGGGGAGGGGACTCAAACTCCCTCCAGATACCTATCGAACTAAGCAAAGAGCTCCCCAACCTGGCCCCCTCTCTGTCAACTCCCTTGCCGGCCGCTTGTGTCATGTACGCTTGTGTCTGTGTGTGTTGTGTGCCCATGGCCGGCGCTGGGGATAGATGGGGAAAGGGAAGGGAAGAGGGAAGGGGGAGGCAGCTTTAAGGAGTGGTAGGGAAAAGGATCAGTGGGAGAAGAAAGACAAGAGGGGAATAGTGTGTTACCTGGCCATCCTGCTGCAGGTGGTGATGGAGGATCTGGGAGTGTGGCTGCTGATGGGGGGTCAGGATGTGCATAAAAGGGGCTGGCGGATAGGCAGCAGCTGTGGCCGGATTGATAGGCCCTCCACTCCCCAGGGCTGAAGGCAAGTTGAAGGAGGCAGCAGGAGTTCCAGAATGAAAACCTTGTTTCTCAAAGGACTGCTGTTCAGGGATGGGGAAAAAGCACAATGGCATCAGCAGAGCCATTCCTGACTACTACTGATTCCCTATCCTCTAACACTTCATCCTTCATTCTTGACAATTCATCGAACTAGACTGAAAACTCCAAGACAGCAAGATCCTTACTTCCACTGTCTTTTATTTTTGCCTATCTTGTAGAGTGTTAACTACAGGTTAAAAATGCCAATGACACTTGTTGAATTTAGGACTGTCATGTGTAAAGGTAGATAGCATTCAGAGCTACTTTTGAGTTCTTAGAAGAAATGGTGAAGTAGTTTGAAAATTCTTGGGTACTGACGGCCTTAAAAATGGACATCTCCCCAAAATCCTTAGTAAATTATAGTAAACTCTTGATACTGAGAGTTGGCTACTCCTCATCTTTATCTGTCATTTCTACTCTTCCATTTCATTCTGAAGAAGCAGGGGGGAACAGAAATGATAAACCTTTAGAGAAGGGAGATTTTTTTTTTTAAGATCAAATGCCCTGATCCAAGAATTTGGGTCTCTTGACACCTCTCTCAAGGCCTACTTTGCACCATTATTACGACAGCCTCTTTCTCTACCTCTGCTGAGTGAGCTAAGGACCTACCTGAGTTTTGGAGTACACAGAACCCGAAATATCTGGCACGCCTGTATTACTGGAGGTGACTGATACACCTGAGAAAGGAAGAAATAGATAGGAGGATTAACATAGCTGACTGTCCTTTTCCCCTGGTTCCTCAAGTCAGGGGAGGTGGGAAGTAGGTTGATAGGGGAGGTCAAGGTAATGCTATCTGAGGCTCTTCCAACTCAATCACTGCATGGGAAGCTTCAGTCCAGTCACAATAAGGGCCCATGATACAAAGGCTCCCTAAGAATTAGCTTGGCTTGTTTCTGAGTATGGGTAAGAGGTGACAGTCCAGCTTCCAGTGAAGCCTACATCCAAACCAGAGTTAACACAAACAATCTCCAGGACCCTCTGTCCCAAATTCCAACAGTAATTCAATAATTTTTACAAGTTAATTTAGAATCATTTCACCCTTCCACCTTCCCACCCCAATTATGTCTACCTCAATAGGCACCAAACCTCTATCCAAGTACCAAGGGAACTCCTGGGCTCCGGAGCTGTACGTCAAGGTGAATGCCAAAACAAAAGAGGCCAACTCAGGTCTATAGCCAGTGTCCTTTACCTGACCTCTATGCTCACTCAGAAGTGGTCAGTTTCAATTTACTCACACCAGTTTTCCCAGAGGTGTCTGCTAGAGGTATAAATGGGCTGGCATACAGATCACCATGTAGGCAATAATGCATAGAAGCCACTGTCCACAAGGAATAGAGAATTCAAATGCCATTTACATAGTCCCATCATCTTAGTTGCCAGAGTTTTAAGTGAGATATCCTGTCTCATATCTTCCTGACAGGAAGTCTCTCCTACTGCTACAGTTCCAGGGTAACCAGAGAGGGATACAAGCCATTTTCCACAGTAATCAAATCACAACTGAAGATCCCTCCACCTATTATCCTTATGCATTATTCATATCCTATCCCTTAACACTGGAGGTGCTCATTCCAGACCTAGAATCCAAGTCCTTCTTTATATTCAAGCCTACATTCAGCTTCTAGTCATCTCAAAACAGAGACTGTATACCCAACTGAGGCCTTCTCAATAGAGAAAGGGACATCCTAGCCAGGAAAATCCCTCCCCCATACAAGTCCTGACCAGCTCAGGAAGCTCCCAACTGACAATAAATATTTCCCTACTCCCAGGGTAGCCTCCACTCTATATCTTAAGGCACCACAGATAGGTAAGAGGGAAAAAGACAAAGAATACTGTCAGTTATTTGTTTTCTTTAAGCCCTAGATGTTTCTCTTAGCTAAATTTGTAATGGAAGCAAAATTTCTGATTCCTAAGTATTAGGGTAGGAACCTAGTTAGAAGGACTAAACCTAAGAGGAAGTGTGCAGGAGGGTAGGATTAATGCTAGATGGGATAAGAGTTAATTTTAGAAGGCAAACCCAAAGGCAACACAGGTTCACCTTTATTGCTAGAGATAGTTAGCTAATACTGCTGGGGGTCCCTTGGGAAACTGGGAATCACTGACAACAGAATGAAGGGCTAGGCTTTCCATTTGTGGGTGGAGAGAAATGTGGGTCCTCTGTGACACCCTGTCTAGCTCTGATCAGGAGCCACTGGGAATAAGTTCCCATTCCCACAATAAATATCTTTTTGGAGAGAGGGGGAGGCAAAAAGAGAGAAAAAGGAAAACCTTCAGTCTCATAGCTATGAAGTAGGGAAAGAAATAAAGGTTAACAACTAGAGGGGTCTTCACCCCAACTAAGGGACTAGGCAAGATCCTCTCAAGATTATAATGCCCTCCTCCCCAAAGGAACAGTTATAATCACATCAACACAGTGTGAAACGTTGTAACAGGAGAAACAGTAAGAACACATCTCCCCTAGTATGGTGAACCTCAAGCACCTATGACTGGGAAAAGTTGATCAGATCTCTATATCATTTAAGGGTTCCAATATCTGAAAAAGATCCAAGGAGAGGCAAACAGCTGGATTTCTAGTTAGCCAGGACAAAAAATTGGGGAGGATAGACTGTTGAATGAATTTGACACCCTCCCTCCCAAAGAAGGGTCTAGCTCCCCCAAAATGACTCCATAAAAAGAAGGCTGATTGGTGTGCAAGCTGGATTGGGAAGGGAGCCAAGAAGACACTGACAAAACCTTACCCACAGAACCTTGGTTACATCCAGAAATCCATGAGGACCACTAAAGAGTCACATGTGCTTGAAGGAAAAGAGGTACAATGCCCTACCTCTGATTAGAGAGGATTCATAAAGGGACCAAAACATACATTAGGTGGTTATTAATGACCAGGTCATATCTGAGTCAGCCCCTTGGTCTTCAAGAGGCAGGAACAGCAGTTAAGCTACTGAAAACTTTTCCCAAGCTCTGGATCCCCAGTGCCAATTCTTCTACCTCTCTTAACATGGGTACCTCAATGCTACTCCAAATGCCTTGCCTTAGAGTAGAAACAAAGAGAGGAATGAATGGAAAGGTGAATAGAGATTAAGCTTGGGAAGTCAGGAGTTCATTACAAATTTAGCTTTTCTCAATAACCAATAGGCTGGGACCTGAGACTACTACCCTCTTCCTGAGAAGGCCAGTGTACCAAGAAGTTAACCAGTGGCTTCTCTGGCTGTGCTGCGGTTTGATTGACAAGATCATCCTTCCACCCTTCCATCCCCCATATGCCACAGCACAATATTAGCTCCTGTTGTCCAGAGAGACATGCACGGAAAGAACGCCAGAGTTAGCTAAAGAAATACCACAGTTTATTGAAGACTACAAATATTTGTTACAAGTTGAAACTACATGCCTTCCAGAAATCAAAAGCAACAGTGGGTGTGTGCATTGCGGCTTCAGAGGCGCTGCACCGCTTGTACTCGAAATGGTTAAGACGGGGTCAGACACACCGAGAGGGGGGAGGGGGGCAGGTTCAAAAGCCCAGAAGGTATCCACCAACTCATTCCCCCAAGCCACGTAGGCCTTGGCCTCAGCTCAGCAGGCTTTCCTCAGTGGTCTGGTTTCTGAAACAAGACTTCAGTGCAAATTCACACACACACACAAAACACAGCCCCCAGCCATGGGCCAAATTAGCTCTCAGCCGTCCAGAAATGCTTGTAAGGGGGTGGATATTTTCTTCCTAAAAGGAATCAGATACATAAAAATAAATGAATTTAAGAGGTTGATGAGGGAGGGGGAATGACCAGAATCCCCTATGGGGTTGGGGGAATGGGGCTTCTAAAATGAATCACATCAGGTCTCTAAAAATCTTGGGCAAGGGAAGGCAGGAAGGAGAAGGGGAGGAATGCAATGCTGCCCCCACTCACCCTTGGTTTTTCTGTAATCAGACAGGACCACAAAACCCCATGTTATCTTGTTCTCTCAGATTTCTGACCCTGGCCCAGCCAGTATCTAAAGCTAATGTTTTGGTGATAGGGATGAGGTCACTCCAAGGAGGGGGTTTATAACCCTCTTCACAAGTCACACTTCTGAGGTGTTTGGAATGGAGACTCTCTGCTCAATGAAAGGGCATAGCTGGGCTTAGAACCTGGCACGATGGGGCTTCCCAGAAACACTCAGCCCAAATCCACAACACTAATCCAACTCACACATTACAGCTTCATGCCTCCACCCCACTAGCAGCTCCTGAAGTACCCACGTGCCCCATTCCCTATTATTAAAAAATCTGGGATAGTTTACCCACCTGGTTCCCACAGAGAAGGGGGGAAGCACAAAAGCTGCTGCCTCCAGATTATTCTGGAGCTGAGACTGAGCTGAAGGCTCTAAAGGACTCATAAGGAGGCAAACCCCACTCCCACCAATGCAACATTCTCCTTCCCATACACAACTGAACCTGCAAAGCCGCTGAAAAGGAAGAATAAAACTGAATGGTCCTCCCCCTTGACTCAGAATCTCTGAGGGAGTTAGAAAAATCAGTCAGGTGCCAGGCAGAATGTTTTCTACCCCAACATCTACTTTAGGGACCATCACCACTTCCCTGTAATCTGCCTTCTTCATGGTTGAGCTCAAAACATGAGTTGTTAAAGAGCTGTCTTATCAGCAGAGACATGAAACCAGGCTTGTGCAAAGAGAACGGTCATACAACTGAAAGAACCACTGAAGATACAACTCTCCTAGCCCACTCTCCCAATTACTTCTCCATGTATTACTATTTCACCCTCCACCCCTAAACTTCACTCATGTTCCCTTATCTGAGGAAGAGAAACCACAAGAAAAACCTAGGCACATAAAGAGAACAGCACTGAGCCAGTCACAGTCTCCCAAGGACATATTCAATCCTAGGTACAATGAATCTATCTATCCCCTTCAAGTTTATTGGTGCCACACATATTGCCACTTGCCTCCACTGGCATCATCTCAACCAAATTTCAGGTCCCTTTGCCCAGCAGCACTGCTCCGCCCCCACTACTGCCAGCCATGCTATCTGGCAGCCAACACATGCCCCGACAATCCCCCAGGTGTGGGTAAGTGGGCACTAGAACACAATGCCAAATTTTCTTGCTGGTGCTGAACAGAGGCTAAAGGCCAACTGCCCAACGCCTAGCACCTCCTCTTCATAGGATTCTCCAACCCTAACTGTGACCCCTCCAAGATTGCCCCCACAGCCAATTCCCCCTGAACATCAAGACATCTGGGATCAAGATGGGCTTACCAGTGTTATATCCATGAGATCCATACCCACTTGGCTGTTGGAAAGGGGTGGCCGATGCGTTCACACTGACATTCACACCATGCTGCTTGGAAGAGGTAGGAGCGACCTGGAAGAGAAAGGGGGTGGGGCCTCAGTGACCAGTGAGGACAGCCCTGACCCTGTCCCATGGTACTAACTCATAGCAGTATATTGGTCAGTTCAATGTGGGAACTGAACTCAGTTAAGGAATGTGGAATGCTCACTTTATTACCAGAATGAAAGTCTTAAGAACCTACCAATGCTGTCAAAAATGGTCAAGTGAAGGTCAATGTGGGGAGGGAAGATCAGGCTATTAACATGTCTGTGGAAAATTTCTAGATGAGAATACACTCCTCATTTATTCTACATAGAGATAAACAACCATTATCTCGCCCCACTTCCCCACCTTCCACACCACCCGAAGGTTTGGGATCAGGAATGCCTTCCCACCTACTGAGAAAGCCAGCAGTACTGGAAGAGTCAGAGTGAGTGAATGCAGATCAGGAAACCTGCCCTCTAGGGAATGATGAAGGTGAGGTACTCACAGGGAATACAGCAGGCCCATACTGGAAGGTGCTGGGGAGGCCCGGGACCCCTGTGTAGTACGGCAGGCTGGTGTAACTGTAGCCAGGAGGCAGCGCCGGGTTCAGGAATGTCTGCTGTGTGGTGTGGTGAGTCTGCGTCTGATTCTGCTGGGGCTGTGCCAGGGTTGTGGCTGGGGCTGGGGACGAGGCATCTCCACGGCCGAATTTTGAGAGGTCACCTATGCCAAGAAAGACCAAGTGTACATGGGCCCCTTCACCTCTCATGCCAATGTGGAATCATATATTTCCTGGGGATACCTTTTCAGAGCTGTAAAAACTCAGTAACAGGTTAAGTAACACGCAGTGTCATATTTTTACTTAGTGGTAGAGCTGTGATGAAAACCCAGGTCCTCTGACTATTTCCCAGAACTACGCATGCTAGGGCTTCTAAAGACTGTGTAAAGGTTTTCCCTGATGATTTCTGGATACCAATGAGTCAGACAGATGCCATTCCTTCTACCTGGAATATTTATCTGCCATACTTTCTCCCTTTCCCAGCTACCAAATTCTATACCTCTCTGATAATCCCAACTGTTCTGAACACACAGCAGGCACTCATAAAACCACAATCAAGTTTAGGAAAATTTCCTGAATGCCTACTACATGGAGGGCGCTTCAGTGTGTGTTGATGGTGACTATGTAATAGTTGGCACACAGGGCAACAGTAAGGGACCCCCAGGATATCTCCCTCAAAATTCCACACGGAGGCAGCTAGGTGGCGCAGTGGATAGAGCACTGGCCCTGGACTCAGGAGGACCTAAGTTCAAATCTGGCCTCAGACACATAACACTTACTAGCTGTGTGACTCTGGGCAAGTCATTTAACCCCCAACTGCCTCACCAAAAAAAAAAAAAAAAAAAAAAATTCTACACAGCTTTCTTCTACTACACTGCTAATCCATGCCCTCTTTCACCACTTTGGAAATGGGTCTCCCTTAGCACTCACTCTCTGGGTATCTGCCTTCAGGTGATGCCAACTAGTCATGTTTCACTGAAGCTAGCTTCCCTTTCCCCTCTAGTGCATACACACAGGTGAAAGAGCTACATCTCTATGAGATGAGGAGAATGAAGGATAGAAGATTCCAGATGGAGGACAGAAGGATAGAAGCTACATTCACACAGCCCTTCACAGCTACAAAGCACATTATAGGTCTTCTCTCTGGATTCTCAGCCCTGTCAGCAGTGGGAAAAGACTCTTCCAGAAAAGGACAACAAAGTTCAAAGAGATTAAGGAACTTTTTCTAGATCACACAGCTAATGATCATTTAGACTCCCAGGCTAGTATACCAAAATAATGACAGATCAGAAAAAACATAAAGACCAAGGAAACTGGATGTCTAATAGGCAACAACACTGTTACCAAAAAAAGGACAAGGAGAAGAAGGAAAGATGAACTCAAGAAACTTAAGATTAGAAGGTGAGGTCACAAGGTAAAGTATGGGTCAGGGTATTTTCTCAGAAAAGCTGATGAAAAAACAGTAGAACCATGGAAAAGCTGGGAAAGTAGCCACAGCAACTAGCCTTTTCCACTAGGAGACAAAATTTAACATCTTATGTTTGTTCCAGCCCCTTCCTGGGGCTGACAAAACACCTCAAGGACAAGTCTCATTAGCTCCAACATCATGTCCAGCCCCATTCCAGTCCTACCAGAGTAAGGATTGCTGGCCAGGCTACCATCCCTCCCGGTCAACGGAGTGGTAGGTGTAGGGAACGGGATGCTGTAGTAATCCTAGAAAACAGAACAAGCAGGCTGAGACTCCATACTTTTGTCCCAATCCCAGTGATCCTCCACAGGGTCGAAACAAGATGTTAGAGTAATGCAATACAACCAGCCATTGATGATGCTGGCCATAGCTCACAGAAGCTCTGTTTCCTCTGGCACATACTGTCCCCCCTGCTTGACTATAGACAGAGTCAGGTAAGGTCTACGGGTGTGCGCATTTAAGTTGCCCAAATACCTACAAGGTTCCTTGGTCCTGATCTATCTCCCAGGCCTGTTGAAGTCGTCTCCTCAAGAGTCACGGCCAAGATTACTCTCTTGAACAAACAGATATGGCTCTCTGGATTTGCCAGGGACAAAGCAAGACACTCCAAGTCCCAGGGAGCTGAGGAATGTCAGGCAGGGGTCCCCAACTTGTCACATAATTTTGATTCTTATTGCATTAAGAAATCATCTCTTCCCACCAACTCCCAGTCTCTCTGAGCACCTTTTTTTGTCATGACTCTACCCCACATACTCACCAAGGGGAATCTTGTCTGAAGCATCTGCAAGTCGTCATAACCATACACTTGTGGCTGAAAAACACAGATGTATCTGTGATGAGGGAAGGTTAGTCACTATGTCCTTCCTATACCATACTCAAATATGCTAAGGACAGGACAAGAAAAAAAAAAAGAGTCAAGAGAAACCAACAGCCAGCTTCTAAAGAGAAATTCCATTCTATCTCCTTACCAAGAAAACTTTACAAGGCCAGAAAAGAACATATATGATTTCTGGGAAAAAACAAAAGGCCCAAAAGGGTAATGTATGCATGATTATACTTTTAATGTAGATCTGGGATGAAAATCTATTCATCAATTTTTATCAACCTTTTTCAAAATCTGGCTTAAAATCTCTCTCCTAAAAAGCCTTGTCAAATAACTATATACTCTATCACTCAGTTACCCCTCAGCTTTTATCTACTGAGTTGGTACTAGGGTTTTTTTTTTTTTTGGTTTGTTTGTTTTGGTTTTTTTTTTGTACTTGTAGGAGCTTTAAAAGCACATTAACGTTTTTGAAGTCAGGAAGTTGGAGAGGTGAAGTCTTCTGCCAAGTTTGGAGTCAACAACCCTAGCAAAGAATACTGAAAAATTCAATCCCAAAATCCCAAGTCTTCCCTGAGGCATACTAAAGAGACATGGGGAAGAAAACAACTTTCTCCAGATAAATTGAGAAAGATCTCAAATTTACATTCAAACCACTAAAGAGCCACTCCAGGCATGGATGATGGCATAACTTGACTAGACCTCATTTTTCTTCCTCTTTTATGCTGTAAAACCAAAAAAAAAAAAAAAAAAATGAACTCCCTTGTTCATATGTGATTCCAACTAGCTTATTCTGGAATATTCTTATTCTAGTACCCACTCGGTAGGCAGAATTATGAAGCAAAAGGGAAGAGAAAAAGAGAGACAACTTTACTCTGCAGAGAGACATCCCCCAAATCCCACTTACCGGGTAGGCATGTAACAGCCCTGGAGCCATGATATATGGATTAGGCAACAACGGTGGGACCCCAGGAGGAAGGTTGGGGGGAGCTTTACCTGAAAGAGAAAGTGTACTTCTAATATGATAAATGACCATTCCTCTTCCTCCTTACCCTGAAGAGGTACCACCCACCTCCCAAGTAGGGCTACCTGAAGTTGTGGCGACTGAGCTTCTGGTTGAGGCGGTGACGGTAGAGTTACTGCCCAGGCTGAGGCCTAGACTACTGCCACTGTTTAGGCTGGATGAGACGCTGACCACAGGAGGAGGCGCCGAGACTGTGCTGGATGCAGTAGAGAAAGTGCTGGAGGAAGAATGAAGGCTCGCCTCACTTTCAACACTTGTGTGCTACAAACAAACAAAAACAAAACAAAACAAAAAAAACAAGAGATAGGGAGGTAGAAGGGAACAGAAGTTGGTATATTATGTAAGAAGTCCAAGACCCTCCTACTAACCAAGCAATGAACTCATGTAGTCAGAAGAGTTAAGAGATTACATAAGTGCCCCATGCCAATACAGTGGGAAGAGTACAACCCTTCAGCTAGCAGAGGTCTGAGGATCAGTTTCTCAAACACAGAACCATTTTGGCCGAGACCTGTTACTCCAAAAAACAGAGGATGAAACTAACATAACCAATATGGAAACTTCACATAAGGCATGTGAGAAGGGTAAAAAGACTTAGCCTACGGCCACACACAGTAAGACACTGAAGAGGAATTTTAATTCAGATGTTCTGACAACCAAATTGTTCCTGCTTTCATTATACCACAATCGAAGCCACGGATCTGTAAAGCTGCCTTTTGCCTAAGGAATCAATCTTCACCAGACAAAGACTAGGAGATGAGTGCGGCACCCATAAAACATCTCTCATATCCAAGACCATTCTGGGATACAATGTGTTGAATTATTTCATCATCTGGGAAGGAGTTGTCATCAGGTCAGAAATAAAGTACCCATTCAAATGCAAGGATAATTGGGAACTCCATAAAAAACTAGCATGGTATAATGCAAAAAGCACAGATTTGGAAACAAAATCTGAGTTCAAATTAAAGTATATGAAGGGATGTCATGTGAAGGGGGATTAAATTAATTTGTTTTGCCTTGAGGTAGCAGAATCAGATGGAAATTAAAAAGCATCAAATTCAGAATTAATTTCAGGAAAAAATTCCTAACAATTAGAGCTACCTGTAAGTGGAAAAGGCTGCCTTGAGACATGCTAGGTCCCCTCTCCTTTAATGTTTTCAAGCTGAAGCCAAACAATCCCCAGTCAGCTGTGCTCTGGTGGGGATTCCTTTAGAACATGGGTTAGATAAGATGCCTGCTGAGGTCCCTCCCAATTTTCAAAATTCATATTCATATTCAAATCCTAATTCTTCAACCAGCATGACCTTGGGCAATTTCTTCAACTACTTTGGGTCTAAGTTCCCATATCTATAAAATGAGGAGGTTGAGCTAGAAGATGTCAATAATCCCTTCCAACTCTAAATATTATGGACCTATGATCTCAAGGTATATAGAAGAGAGAAATACCTTCAAAATCATAAGAATGGTAAAAGGATCTTAAAGCTCAGTGAGTATTTTAAATTTAGTCAGTCAATAAACATTTATTAAGTGCTTACTATGTGTCAAGGACTATGTTAAGCACTGAGGATGCAAGAAGAACAAAAGATAGTTCCTGCCCTCAAAAAGTGGACAATTACTTAAGCTTCTCAAACAAAGTAACAGATGGTAGTTTTATAGACGCCCCCAAAAGATTCAAATTCCAACTAAAATTCCTAGAAATTTAGCCCTATTAAAGGTTCATGTTGTACAGCAGCAAGCACTAGAATAGGAATCAGAAGGTCAGCTCTGCTACTAGGCAACTCAATTAACCTCTCCAGAGGCCTCAGTCTAGTAGATAGGCTAAGTTGAGTTCCAGAGTAGATTGGAAAAGGATATCTGAAAGGCAGGCCTGAAATATCTACTCAAATCCTTTTCTCTAGGAAACCTGAGGATCCTAAAACTTCTGCTTAACAGTCCAAAATGAGGTCCTATTAAAATCACTGACATTCCTGCTTTTATTCATATTCCTGGGAAAAGTCACTTTTGGTGAAATGCTGCAAAAAATTGGTGAAATTCTGTTGTCAAATCTCCAAAAGTCTTATGATAGAAAATGCTATCCACATCCAAAGAAAAAACTATGGAGTTTGAATGCAGATTGCAGCATACTACTTGCTATTTTTTTCCTTCTGTTTTGTTTTGTTTCCTCTTTCTTGTGGTTCCTCTTATTGGTACTAATTCTTCCTTACAATATGACTAATGTGAAAATATGTTTAATAGGAATGTATATGTATAGCCTATACCAGATTGTGCGCCATCTTGGGGAGGGAGGGGGAGAAAAATTTTAAACTCAAAAGCTTATGGAAGTAATTGCTGATAAATCAAAATAAATTAATAAAAATTTTAAAAAAAAAAAAGAAATTCTGTTGTCAAAAGCTCCAAGTTTGGCCTCCATTTTAACAGTTCAGATACAGATGTAATGCATATGCCAGACCAAGAGAAAAGGAAGGCATTATATAATGGCTGGGAACCACTCAAGGCTGCAATGACTCATAAGGTCATAGATGGTCTCTCAGGTATCTTCTACCTCTGAATCTATGACTTAATGACTTAACCGCTGAGGGCCTCAGGCAACTCTCTAAGTTGAAGAAAAGATGTCAAACTGAACTGGTATAGGAAGTTCCCTATACCAATAAATACAGGTTCAATCAAAAAAAAATGCTTTTGAAACTTTCAGGAGCCAAGTTGTTAGAACAACTTTACTACAACAGCTAGGTGGTGTAGTGGATAAAGAACTGGGTTTGAAGTCAGTTAGACTCCTCTCCCAGACTTCAAATCCAGCCTCAGACTTACTAGCTCTGTGACTCTGCTCGAGCCACTTAACTCTGTTTGCCTCAGTTTCCTCATCTATAAAATAAGTTGGAGAAGGAAATGGCAAACCACTCCAGTATCTTTGCCAAGAAATTCCCAAATGGGGTGACGAAGAGTCAGACACTACTGAAATGACTCAACAACTACAATACTGACTTGTGAATGTCCACTGCTGAGGTTCAAATGATTGGTCGCACCACTCCATTACTAGCAGGGTCTACTCTCTCACCCCTCACTTCACTTGCCATCACCCTGTCACCTCTATCCTCTTGTAGTCAAATTTTCACTGTAATCTCCTAAATTCTTAAGAAAATTTGCAAATTTGTTATTTACCCTGGAGAAACCTTTTTAAATCAAGGAATTTGGAAAGCACATTTATACATACACTCACACCAAATTCATCTCAAATCTTGGTGGTTTTTTGTTTAACCATGTTTATTTTACAAAGGAGTTAAATGACTTGATTCAGGGTCACAAAATAAGTGAGTAGAAGTGGGGAATGAAGTTTCCTGTGGAGAGGTAGTAAATAGAAGGAAGTCTTGTATCCGAGCTGCAACATCAACTTATACTCACCAAAAGAGTTGATGTTGAAGTGCGCCCAGAAGATGATGATGACGAAAGTGTATTCTGTTGTGTAGATAATGTGCTAGAAAGATACAGAGAAAGTATTTTCAGTCAAAGGACCTCAGCCATCTCTTTCTTCTTGGGATGCTAAATCAGGCAAGGAGTCATGAAAAAAGGGGGTGGGTGGGGAACCAAAGGACCAGAAGGCAATCACTCTATTTGAAATGATCAGTAAAACAAGTGGTTGCTGGAAAATGAAGGAAATTCCTTTTTGCCTCCAAAGTTCTTAAGTCATCTGATTATAGCAAAGCCAGGGCTATAGCAACCTTTGCTAATAATAATAACAACAGCAACAATCAACGATTCATAGAATTTTAAGATTTACAAAACGTTTCACATAGACTATTCATTTAAGCTTAACAAGATCATTCTGCTAGTAGATGTTTGAGGCAGAATTTGAAACCCTTCTTGACTTCAAATCAAGTACTCCATATGCCACTCAGGTAGACCTTCTGTTAAGTATCAGCAAGGACCCCAGAGGGCTACAATGACCAGTAGCATCCCCATTTACTCACCTGCTGTGTTGGGTGGTGGTAGTATTTGGAAGCTCCTCACTGTGGCTCAAGCCACCCAATGCAGATGAATGCTGATTGGCTGTGGTCAGCAAGGAAGCTGCAGATACCGTGTCATTGAGAGGGGGGATGCTGGGAGCAGAGGGTGAGTCAGATTTCACCGCAGGGCCAGTAGCACCTAAAAAGAAAGGGGAAAGGAAAGGGAAATTACAATTTTAGAAGCCCTGCAGGGAAAGAGTAAAGATGTGACCACTATTCAAAGTTGCATCACCTATAAGCAAGTAAAATTATTAATTACTTATTATAATAAGTAATTATTAAGTCTACTTTGATTTCTATAGAATTGATTTTCTTTACAAAAAACCCAAATATTTGAAGTTATTATTTTCATTTCATTTAAAAAATAATTTTCCATCTCATTTTCATAAGGGAAGGGGGAAATCATGATATCCATTCCAAACAAAGAAACTAAAGCAAAGGGATGTTTAAGATTTGCTAAGATCAGTAAGTCAGAACAGAGGTAAGACTATAACTCTCTCCCAGTTGTTGGCTCAGAATTCTCTTCAGTAGACTATAATTTATCATCTAAGGCAACTGTTTGCAGATGTTTTACAATGGAAGAACCTTTCACTTTTAAAAGACTTACTTAGAACCCCTCCAGTAAAAATTTTAAAATATTTGTAAATATCTGTAACTATTATCAAATGATGTCGACTTTTAAAAACCTTTGATTCACATGTTGTTCTAAATCTATCAGCATTACAAACTGCTTTAGTGCAAAGGGTATATACAGCCTTTACCTACTGGTGTTTTGTAAATGAGAATATTGGACAGATTTAATAGCTTACCCTATAAAGATAATTAAATCTTTATTTCCTCATTTATTTTATATAAACAAAAATCTGGGAGTGGGGAGATAGAGATTATTTTGATTCATCACATTTCCACTTCGAAAAAGAGTTTTATAATTTTTACTGCAGTTTGTTGATCAATAAATGCCTTTACAACTTTGTCAGAGCTATTTTTATAAATTTTGTATCATTAATACATTGTGTGTCAGAATCACCATAAGCACAAATTGAATACAGCTGTCATATGTATATTTCTTTTATATCTGAACTGGGTTTGTGAATATTTGTTTTTACTGTCCCTCTTAGACACCTTCACTTTCTTCTCCCTTCAAATTCTTTAATCTTGTCTAATCACATTTTTTTTTGCACATAGTTTTTAAAAAACCATTAATAGAAATACATTCTAATCTTTTAAATTCCTTCTGCTAAAACCAATAATCAACTCATTATGTATTACATGTATTACATGGTACTACTGGATATGCTTAAAATCTGATTCTACATGAACAGAAACTTGATCCTTTTGATCCCAATGTTCTTCATCCTATCTAATGGTTTTCTATAATTATGGAGCATATACATACTGTATACAACTAACAGAGAGCAAAGCAGATGGGTTGTTTGATTTGCTGTGCCTGCCTGCGAATATAACTTTCTTTTTCACGGACATCTTTCCAATAACTTTGTGGAATCGAGTTTGAGAAATGCTGATTATACAGATACTAGAAAGTTCATAAAACAAAACACCTTTAATTAGAGAGAAAACTGAAGAACACTCACCTTCAACAGATTGTGTGTTCTGTAACTGTGTGGCCTGCACGGAGCTGAAGCCATTCTGGAGCAAGAAATAGAGACTCAAGTGAGGGAGGGCAGGTTAGCATTTGCCCAAGCTCAGCCTCTACCAGCAAGCCTTCTCTTCCAGAATTCAGGGGAAATTTACAGGTTAATCAAAGGATTAACACTCCCCACACCCAGATAAAGGAATTTGTGGGAGTCTTAGAAGGGAAGATGTATGTGCATTAGGGTACAGCAAGTGATGACCCCCTATCTACTAAGGAAGGCCAGAGCCCTAAAAAGATGCTGGAAAGACTCACAGAACCAGACCAGTGATCCTTAGGGGGAATGTCTATGGAAGTAATGCAGTCCAGCCAAGCCATTAATTTGGCAGCCTGTAGATCTGGCAATCACTCCACATTTCCTCTTGCATACGCTGTCCCCCTCAACTGGCCACGAGGCAAAGCCAGATGAGGTCTACTGGTATGCACCTAGCACTCTAGCAATCAGATATCCCAATGAGATGGGGCAGGCCCTGGACTAGACACAAACCCTGCTCCATCAGCTGGGATCTTTACATTTATTCTTCCAGGGAGAATGATTCCTTGGTGCCAAGAGACCAGTCAGCTGGGCTTGGCCCAATCGCAGCAATGTGCTCTCCTTTCCTGCCTCTGCCCAGGTGCTCCCCAAGGACCCTCTGCAGCATTTGTAGCAAGGTGAAATGTTGAACCAAGGATTTTGTCCTCGTGTTCTCCCAACCACCTACCAGGGGCTGCTAAACAACCTACCTTTGCCTGAGTCAGGTCCTTCTGGGGAGACGAGGAGATGGAGTTGGGGTACCGCCGAGTCTGTGTGGATCTCTGTTCATAGAGCGGGCCCTGAGCACTGTTTTGGGAGGTATAGGTTGTCGACTGAATTGGGCCGCTCTGGTAGCCAGACTCCTGACTCTGGTTGGATGAAATTGTGGATGAAGACTCACTATGTGGGATGAACAGAGAAACACACAATCATGTGAGGAATAGGTCAAGCTTACTAATAAACAAGGGTTTTCAGGAAAGGCCCTACTAGGCTATAGGTCTAACTCAATCCCCATACAGAAATCCTGTAACACCAAGTTACCAAGTCTGAATCTCTACCATTTCCTCCTGGCAACTTTCAGGATACAACATGCGCCCATAATACCAGTGGCACAGGCAACAATATAGTTCAGAAAACCTGACTGCCAACTTTGATTAGAAGGCACAAAGGATTCGCCAAATGTAAAACTAAATAGGAGGGACCTTAAATGTCAAGAGTTCAAACTCCAAATCCATGTAGGAACCTCTACAACATTCAACACTGAATATCTGTAATAGGTAGTATTTATACAGCATTTTGTGGTTTGCAAAATTACACATATTATCCCATGTGATCTTTATAACTATACAAGGTAAGTGCTATTATTATCCTTATTTTACAAATGAGGAAATTGAAGCTAATAGAGGGTAAGTGACTTGTCCAGCATCACATAGCTAGATCACATAGCTATGATCTGAGTTTAAATCCATTCCATCAACTACAACACCAACCTGTAAAGTACTACAGTCTATATCAGGTTTGTAAATTCCCTGACAAGTAGTCATCCAGTTGAAATTTACCTCCCTCTTATTTATACCCATTTGGTCCTAATTCTGCCAAGCAGCAGCACTTTCGATATCAAACCACTTCCTGTTCTCCAATAGCTAAGTAACCAGAGAGAGATAAAATATCTATTTTGCCTCTCCACTCCTTCAGGAGGATCAGCTATTCCGGATCTTTAATTTTCTCCCATTTTAGGAGAAAAAAAAAAGCCACGAATATGAATGGGAATAGTGCTATATTCATAGTATGGGCAGCCCAATGAATATTTACATTTTGAGTCCTAAGCATCGTATTCACTCTCTATTATTCAACTTAAGCAAATTTAACCTCAGGACCAATTCTTGGGAACTGCGTTAATTCAACAAACATTTACTAATATAACTACGAGGGTCAATGAAAAGGTTTCCTTGAGATGATCTAGTTTCATTCTCTCATACTGCCCAATATTTTATTCAACTTCATTCCTCTCTTTAAGCCTTCAAAGTTTAATAGGCAAGTTATTGTTAATTACTTTGAAAGGGAGTCTTTTCACACCTGTGGAGTGAATGGCTACAGGTGGACAAGATCATGTAACTCCAAGGTTTTCTGTTACATATCCTAACCTTGGGAGCCACGGAAAAAAAGCCAAAAAAGAACCTACAGCTATTCATTAGTCATCCCTCACTCTAACAATATGACCCAACTCTTTTTCCAGATCTCTCTATTCACATCTTTTATGTCACTTACATTATGCAACTGTACTCACACCTACCCATACTTACCATGTACCTTACATTAGCCCCCTCCCAATACACACACTTAAAATACCACTTAAGTGGGGAAGAGAATAAGCATTTATATAACACTATCCAAGAGGCACTGTACTAAGTAAGAATCTTTTACAAATATTATCTCATTTGGTCCTCACAACAACCCTGCAAGGTAGGTGGTGTTATACAGATTTCATTACAGCTGAGGAAACAGAGGCAAACAAAGGGATTTGCCCAGGGTCACACAGCAAGTGTCTTGAGTCTGGATTTGAACTCAGGTCTTCATGATTCCAGGTGCAGGGTTCTATCCCTTGCACCACCAGCTGCCTCCAAAAAGCCAATGACAGCAAGTTTTTCAGATGTGTTGAAGCCTACACTTACATCATCTGCATTAAGTCTGAAGATTTACCAGAGGAGTCAAAAAGGCATATATTAATTACTACTCCCTTAAAAAATGACACGACCCTGATAGTGTTGATTTAAAGGAACACTAAACATAAGAACATCAACAATTAAAATGCAATTCTAAGATCTGAAAAAAAAAATCTACCTTCAACATCTCCCCTACCTGAAACAGATTTAGGCTAGTTTTGGAGTCTTAAAGTGACATAAACCTAAACCACAGAAAAGCAGGCAGCTCTGACTTGTACCTTGCAGTGCTCGTATAGAGACTGCTTGGAGTCTGACTTGACGAGGCGCTCGTGGTAGGAGTGGACTCATACTCTGAGAGGACAGGCTCTGACCCAAACTGTAATGCCCCAAACTGCAGGTTTAGCCCTGAGATATCCGCTGAGCCAGGCATCTCCACTGCCAGAGCAGGAATCTGTAGAAAGGAGACAATAGGAAGGAAGGTGTGAGTTTTAATGAAACCTTTCAACAGGTTCATAAAGTTAAACTACTCTATAACTTTTGAAGATTTCACAGTCACATACTAAATGTATGTAGCTGTTACTAAACTAAATAGATATGTAACTGTAAATCGGTCCACTCTTTCTTTCATCCAAGGATAAAAATGAAGATGATAATAGCTAATATGTTTACATAGCTCTTTAAGTGTTAATCTCATTTGATCCTAACCATAATCCTGTGAGGGCGATACTATTATTATCCCCATTTTTCAGATGAGGAAACTGAGGCTTTCAGAGATTAAGTAATTTGCCCAAGTACTGTCTGAGACCAGATTTAAACTCAAATCTTTCTGATTCTTTATTCCAGCGTTCTCTTCACTACACCCCCAGGTAGCTCCCACCACTCAATATAAACCAAAATACTAAAATAAGCACTTTTTATATTGTCAAAAAACTGTAAAAAGTAGATGCTTATCAACTGGGGAATGGCTAAATAAATTAGAGTACACAAATATAATCAAGTATTACTGTGCTGTTAATAAGCAAGGAATATGAAGAATACTGATAATTTTAGGAAGCTTTATAAGAAATACAAAATAAAGCGAACAGAATCAGAAAAATAATGTACACAAGGATTATAATATTGTAAATGGAGGAACTCCAAAGTGAATGCTGGAAAATGATGATAACCAAGCTTGGCTCCTAATTAGAGATAAAAGAATGCCATTCCCTCTCTTCTTTGCAGAGTTAGAGACCATGGTTATCGAGTACTGCATTTAATTTCAGAATTTTTTGATGTGTTGAGCATTTTGCTCAATTATTTTTCTCAGTTAGAAAGGATGGCTCTCTGAGAAAGGAAGAGGAGAGGGAGGGAAGATGCATTGGGAAATAAAGGCGATGTAAAAAATATTGATAAAAATTATCAAATGAAGGCAACAAGTTAGGGGTGTAACTAACTCCCCTATGACCTTGAACATGACTTGCCTTAAGTTACTGCCTGTATCTATCTTGACAGGCCCTCATAAAACTATGCCAGGTCCCACAGTCCAAAGTACCAAGAGATCAGGTACCTTCGAAGTCAAGGAGGCCTTTTTCTTTTGCTGCTTCAGTTTCTGCTGAGCCGGCTGGGGGCTGGAGGACTGGTTGTCTGAAGATCCCGGGGACATCTGTGGAGCTGAGGTGGACTTGCTCGGCAATGGAGAGGAAGGGGCCGGAGGTGCAGTTGTAGAGGTGGTCACTGCAGGTGGCTTTTCCTGCAGGAACACCTCCATCATGGCTGAAGATGGGGTGAAGGCCTGGCGTTTTGTGAATGGGCTGTGGACTGCTGAATCTGTTGGGTTCTTCAAATCTGTTTGGAGAAAAACAGATGTATATGTATGAGACCAAGCAAAGGGTACAGAATGAACTATGAGAAAACTCTGGTCTAAAGTCCTAGATTGTGCCTAAGGGATATCAGTACTCTCTCAATGCAGACCAAGAGGCTGGCTTCCTTCTGATTGACACTATCACCATTCCAGGGCAGAGATATAAACAGAGAAGCTCCTTGGGGCTGACTCTTTTGTCAAGTCATACCCCTGGTTCTGAACTCTCCAAAGTTGGAAATATCTGCTTTTCACAATCAACCCAGGTGAACCAGAAGAAACTTTGTGAAATCTCCTGGTCAATGCAGGGTCTCCAGACCAGGATATAGGAACCCATTCAATCAGATAAGAATTAAGATTTATAGCCTCATAAATTCCTGTGATTCCCCAACTGCCTGGGCTCAACTTATCCGGCCAGGGGAAGCTAATGTGGGAAATGAGTCATTTGGCTGCCCCTTTCATCACCCCACCATACATCTCTACCTACCCACTAGCAGCAACATTCCAACAATAAGGACTCTGACCTCCTGTCTTCCCTTACCATACTGCACCAGCGATGGGGATTGTGTTGTAGAGCCCATGTCCCAAGAGGAAGTGGTGGTGCTCCCACCCGACTGAGAGTGCTGAGCTGCCAACTGGGCCAAAGCCTGGGCTGTCTTGAACTGCTCCAAGAATTGGGAGCCTGTGGTGCTACCACCTTTAGCTTCGCCGACATCACCAAACCCCTTTCCTAGCATGCTCACCTGCAGATCAAGACAGAATCACAGAATTTCACTAAGGAATTCAAATGGAATTACTAGCTTAGAGTGACATAGGCCAGGTGAGTCAAGCCTATATTATACCTTCATACCTCCTGCAGGGAAAAATGTCAATGGCTGTTTTTATAAAACAACTAACTTGATTATCCATGACAATGAGGGACAAGAAAACCACAAATAATTGAAACATAGATAACCCAAAATATCATTTTAGCCAATAAAGCAAGACTCATTTCCACTTCTAGCTTTTCCACAAGAAGCCAAAGGACACCTTGGGAGTTTCTCCTCTCTGCCCATAAGTAGATGAGATGAAGAGACAAAGCCAAAAGGCTTTCACAAACCCTACACTGGATAAGTCAAATCTTATGGCTTCAGTAGCAGGTTTATGCCTTATCTGAGTTTTAAAAACAGAAAAGATGACTCAGTCCAAGTCCTATCAGCTGTCCAAGCTTATACTGCTGAATTTATTGTTTCCATGTCACCAATTTGTGGATGAAAGAACTAGCCTAATGATTATGCCCAGATAAAGCTACCTCAAACCCATTCCAGATCAATCAAGCTGTCTCATTTGTTCTAGAAAATCTGCAAAGAAGGGAATTTATCCCAATCTTCCTTTAGCACTTATCCACCACATCATAATGCCAGCAGTCTTCCTCACACCTAGAATTTATAAGACTGCAGCTCAGGTACAATTTCTCTTATTCTATCTCTATCTCTACCAGGAATAGCAAGAAAATAAATTACAGGAATTCGAGTGAAAGTTTCAGGATTACAGGTGACAATCTCATATCTCTAATGAATTATAAAGAACTTTTCTAGTACAAGGTACTTGACCAGGAGTGGAGAACCTGTGGCCTTGAGGTCATGAGTGCCCCACCCCTGTACTAGACAAATGCTTCATAATATTTCATTATCCAACATGACATATCACAATTAAGTGAAAATACTAGAATTCTAAAGTGATTTTTAAAACAAACCAATACTGAAACATAATTTATAAGAAATCAATTTAATTAACTCCAAAAGACTCACAGTGGAAAATGCTATCCACATCCAGAGAAAGAACTATGGAGTCTGAATGCAGATGGAAGCATACTATTTGCTCTCCTTTTCCTTTGTTGTTTTGTTTTATTGCTTCATTCTCATGGTTCCTCCCATTAGTTTTAATTGTTCTTTACATCACGATTAATGGGAAAATATGCTTAATAGGAATGTATAAGTAGAGCCTATATCAGATTGCATGCCATTTTGGGGAGTGGGGAGAGGGAAAAAATTTGAAACTCAAAATCTTATGGAAGTGAATGTTGAAAACCAAAAATAAATAATTTTTTTAAAAAAGTGCCACTGACCTCTTTTATTAATAAAATGCTAGCATTATTAATAAAATGACTGATTGCCCAGGAAAAAAAATCAATTTAATTCAATCAATATTTGAGCCCTTCATTACATGAGGTCCTGGAAATATAAAATAATAATAGATAAAATCAGAGATTTCGAGCTGGAATGGATTTATTTAGTTCAACCCCCTCATTTTACAGATGAGGAAAATTAGGTCCAAAGAACTGAAGCAAGTTGCCCCAGGTCAAACATATAGACAGTAAGAAGTAATGCCAGGATTTCTTCTGACTCCAGATCTAACCCTCATACCATACCACCTGTTGACCTCAAGGAATTGATAATCCAATTATGAATTAAACTTATAGTTCTTCTCTCGAGGAGGTTATGCAGCATGAAGCAATATGTAAAAATATTTCATAACCTGAACAAGGGAAGGAATCAAGCAAATCCTTAACCTAACACAAAACATGCAACATGTAGGGTATGAAGGTGAAGTTGCAGTAATGGGAAATATCATAGGTTAATACTATTAGGCATTTCTCTAGCATCGTATCTTTGGCAACAAGAAACCTAAGCCCTTTAGGATCAGAATGTAAAACAGTCTTAATTCCACATGCAGCAGGGTTCAGGCTCCAACCAAATTTCACAGCTCTAGCAAGTCCGAGGCTTCATTATACTAAGGTTTAGTGTGTGGGAACAAGATTAAGAAGGACTAGCTAATTTGATTTTGAATAAGATACTCAACCATGGTCCAGGATACCATCTTCTCCCTCCTAAATACCCTTTTGTAACAGTCTACTTCCATTCTGGAAAGAGTACTAGGGATCAGAAGAATTAAGACTCTAGCCCTAGCTCTATTAACTAGCTTTTTGACCTTGGGCAATTCATTAAACTTTGCTTCCATCTAATCACCTATAAAATGAAGTTGATAAACTAGATGATTTCCAAGGTACCTTTCAACACGAAGACTCTCTAAATCTTAATTCTCTTCTGGATTAAGACTTCCAGAATCATTTTTGTCTCAAGATGTGATGAACTTAACAAGAATAGTACCTGCTTCAGCCTCTGTCTAGCACAACGCATCATATTTTGGCTCAATTTAACTACCGTGGATTTTGGAACCAAGTCACGTGGTACAGTTTTTTTGTTGAAGGGTTTGGTTTATGGTAACAATGCAATTTCTGCCTCCATCATGAAAAAAGAAAGATTGTTGCCTATCAAACATTGTAATATTGTCAACCTCATAAACTAGAAAAAAAAGTGTTCACAATTTGATTTGAAGCAACCTCTTTCTCCTTCTTGAAGTTATCTAATACTGTGTTAACTCATTCAAACTTATTACAGGACCCTATTTGACCAGACACCAACTTTTTTCCTATAGCTAGTTCTATTCCACCATTTCTATACTCGAGTCACAGAAAAACAGACTAAAAACTTTTTAGCTTCTGACTACTTCTTGAAGGGGATGGAGCAGGAATTGGTGAAGATTTTCCCCTACTTACCATGCTGTGATGGGAGAAGGTGCTTCCTGATGCAGGCTGCGATATGGTGCTCTGCTTTGAGTTACTGAACACCAAAGGCTGGGCCAGGGAAGGAGCCTGAGATGGATCCATATTGGTTGACTCATTCTCCATTGAAGAAGGTGTCTTCCCTAGTAACACAGCAAGGTCGATCCTAGCAAAGAGAGGAATAGTATTTGAAGAACAAAGGTTCTTCCAAGCACCCCCTAATAACTTTGATTCAGTTATAGCATCACAAGTGCTGAGAGGCAAATTAGATGACAAAACCCGAAGTTTTTCTTCTTCTATGTGGAATCCAACAATATAGAGGCAGCCCTCAGCAACCAGTATACTAAGTAAACATAAATATAACTATATCCAAGTGGCAGTTTGAAAGAATACTACTAATATGCCAGGTATAATGAATGCAAAGGTTTTCTAAAGCTTTGTTTTAGCATGAATTTGATAATTTAGTAGCTTAAGTCTTGGCTTGATATAGTAACTTGATAATTAGGGCTGAATTTGCTAAAATTCAGGAACTTCACCTGTAAGTTTGAAATTTGAATATGTCTCATCAACAATGTATAAAAATCTAAAACATGCATTTAATACAAAGCATTTTAAGAGAGATTCTTTCAAAAACTAAATTTTATACCACTTTGAAAGCCATTTCTGATAACATCATTACTAATATCCTACATTTGTCATCATCACTGGATAGCCATTACAAATGGAAAAAAAGAACACCAAATCCAATAGCTGACAGGATTGGTTCAAGAAACAATGAGGACTGCTGAACAGAAATGCCCCTCAGAATCTGATGGTTTGACCTTGGCTATTCTGGAGGATAGGGAATGACAACGGTCATTCAATATCCAAGAGGGGCCTAAATCCTATTAGACTGACCAAAGGGGCAGCTATATGGCACAGTGGATAGAGCTCCAGCCTTGGAGTCAGGAGGACCCGAGTTCAAATCTGGCCTCAGACACTTCACACTTACTAGCTTTGTGACCCTGAGCAAGTCACTTAACCCCGACTGCCCCCCCTACACACACACACACAAAGACTGACTAGATAAAAATCAGCATTGTAAATTAAGTAGATATCCTACTGAATTTTCAGAATTCAGAAGTGGATCTTCACCTGAATCCCAGTAAGGTATTTACTTTGCAAGAAATTAGGTTTATGGGCCAGGAACACTGAAGTTAAACTGGACTAAAAGCAGTTTCCAAAAAAAAAAAAAAATCAGAAGCACTAACACGTGGGAAAAATAGGAAAGGCCATGTGTAAAAGGTAGTAAATAAGCTAAGCTTTAAAGGGAGAGTTATGGATTCCAAAAGGCGTATGTGAAGAAGGAGAATATTCCTTGCAGTCAACCTGTACAAAGGCACAGAGAACAGGATAGTTATGTAAGAAGACAGTAAAGAGACATTTATCAGAGAATTGAGGTGAATCTAAGGCTAGAGTTTACATCTTAACAAAAGTGAGTGATTTTGGCTTATAGGACTAATATAACAATCACTTAAAACTGCTTATTAGAGGTTCCTAAAAGTATAGGAAAAAATAGAGACTTATTCAAAATTCATCCCCATAGTCACCTCAGACATACTAAGACAAAGTTTATTATACAATTTTCTTACCTCTGACCAGCAGTGATTGTCACATTTTCTGCAGGCAGGGGCACTGAAGACACATTAGAGGCAGTGAAGATCTTGGTCTCAGAAAGCTGGAACAGAGATAAAGGAATGAGTCACTACCAATTCCAAGTAGGCTGTATTCAATGAGATGCATGGAAAGAATAATTTAGCCTCAAAAAAAAAAAAAGAACCCTGTGCTGTCTACACCCTTGATAAACCAAACAACTTATTTCTTCAATAGATTTGAGGTACTCTGGTCTGGAATTAGGGAGAACAGATTAGACAGACATGCCTCATCCATACACATACACATACACACACACACACACACACATATACATACACATATACAGACTGTGATTTTATTCATAATAAACGTGAAGTCGGGGAACCCAACAGAATAAATGATCAAAGGTTCACAGGATCATAGATTTAGAGTTTCAAGGGGTAAGGGGGATAGAGGTACATCTAATCCAACAGAAGATGAAACTGGGACTGAGAGATAAAGTGAGAGGTGAAGCCACACAGAGAGTAAACAGCAGAACTGGGATTCAAACTCAGGTCCTTTTGACTCTAAACCCAACACTCTTTTCACTGTATCACACTGACCCCTCCATAAAGCCAAACAAGTAAAAGAACAGTGTCTACAATTGAAGAATTTGGCTTTTATCATTATGAGAATTTCTTTTAAAAATAGTAGATTTAATAAAATTTAATCAAAGGGGTAGAAATCCTTTTTTCAATATGATTGAACCAATGTTCCAAGCTTCTGGAAGACATAGGAGAATTTACTTAAATGTTCAGCCAATCTGCTCGGGTGACAGTCACTATCTGATGTTCAATATGCCTTGGAGAAAATACTTCAGGCCTGGCAACTAGTATTAAGGATGGTATTTGACACTGTCATTTCCTTGGTCATTCAGTCATCCATAGTGAAGACTTCACAAAGAATTGGAACATAAGGAAAAATTGCCAACAAAACAGGGACTCATTCTTAGAAATCAACCCTGAGGTTCAAAGCATGAAAATTTCAGTTCAGAGCAGGGATATAGTTATTTCAACTCAGGTAGCATTTACCTAAGCCATCCTAGAGATCTTCTTTTACATGTAACTTTACATAATTGCAAGTGGGGAAGGGATATGCTAATGGAGTCTAGCAACATTAAACACAAAATGAAAGGGACCATAAGATCAACTACATTATACACTTGAGGGTAAGGATTCATTATCATCCACCCTTCTACTTCCTTTGCATCTCACACACAGCCTCTTATGGAGTTATACAGGGAGTAAGTGCTTAAAGTGACTATAAAGTGTTGGTTATGCTGGGTCTCGGCAGTTGTTACATAAGTTAATACCACCAGAGTTCTGTTTCTAACATAATCCCCAGGACTTGTCACTTTCCTGGCAGTATGTCTTACAGTAAACTGCCATAGCCAGGCATGTATATATAGTTCCAAGGTATAGTTATGTGATAGAACCTATATCTGTATAGGCTCCTCGCCCAACCCCACCCAAGTGGCTTCCTTCAATCTTACTTATCCCTGAAGATGTCTTTACATGCCACTTGATATGTTCACGGGTCAACACCCCACAGTTATCCACAGGTTGCTAAGACCTGATTTAGACCATTAATGGTAAGTGGAGGTCTGGTCAACTTCTACCCCTGAGAATTCAGTTTAAGAAGACTTTTGGGAGCGCTTACATCTTCATTCCAATCTTCTGTACCCCATTCCTCTGTTGCAGTCCTCCATGCACCTAGAAGCAAAGCAAAGAATTGAGAAGAGACCTAAAACACTATGAGGTAAGACATACTTCAGAAACAACTCTAAAATGTTTTTCAGGCAAAAAACTGATAGGGATCTAGTAGTCAGAAAAGATTGCCAAGCACAAAATCATGGCCCAAACCCTCCCAAAGAGACATCTCTGAACATAAGATTTTACTAGGGTTATGGCTTCATACTCATCAACACGGCCTTTTACAATCAGTTCAGCACCAGCCACAAAAAAACCAACTATCCACCCCACCTCCCACAGGGCAACATCCTTTATAGCACTCAGCCCTCTGGCCTGGTGGAAATTACTAGGTCATACAGTAGGATGGTAACAGAAAACATAAGCAAGAGCATGCAACTAAGCTTACTTAACTGGGATAAAAAAAAAAAACCAAAAAACCAGGTGATCTGAAGAGAGATGGCAACACTGATTTAACAGCACAGATGGACTCAGTAAAAAATGGTTTTGATGATGGTTGATGACAAAGCAGTGAAGGAAGGATGGGAATCTAAATCTAGAGCAGTGAAGTAGAAGGTAGGGTACTGTAGTAAAATGGGCCAGACTTGGGAGTCAGAAGAGACCCGAGTTTATATCCTGGTTCCAAAACTTACTGTGACACCATGGTCACATGACCTTGATGAAGTTTCAGTTTCCTCATCTGTAAAATGGGGATATTACTTCAGATGATCTCCCTCACAGTGTAATGTGAGGAAAAAAGCTGTGCTAACTTTAAAATCCTATAGAAACATGAGCAATTATTACCTGCCATTTACTTAATTTCAAGGTAAGGACATGATTGGCTCAACTAGATACTAAAAATAAAAGATCTGATCCCTCTCAAAATCCACACTGCGGAAAGGTATATAACACCAAAGGCAGGACTAAAGGACACAACCTCTAACTCCTTCAATTGCAACAGGTTTATCTATTGAGTACGGAAGAGGGTTGGAGAGAAGGTAAACAGGTATATGGCAAAAAGACTTTATTTGTTGGTTCTGATTGTTTTTCTCTCAGTTTAACCTGGGAATCTCTGGCTCCATTTCATATACTGATGCCTCCCTAAGACTCACCCTATCTTTGTCTAATTTAAAAAAACAAACTCTAGTCTACTACAGTTTGGGGTAATGGGGTCTATGGGAGAAAAGACTGAAGCACAAGAAGATCCATTCCATAGAATATAGATATAGAATATCCCTCATCTCTAGTTCTATATATTTCTATCATCTTCTACTTCAATCTACTCTCGTAAGATTTTGGGGCAGTGTGAGGGTATTAAAAAATTAGGTGAACACTGCTCTACTCTTAAGACTTTCTTTGGCAACTAAACAATCATATGGTACCTGCCTGGTTAAGAGAAGGATGAACTCCCTCTCTCACTCTTTCCAAGGCCAATTCTCAGAGCACCTCCCTAACTTACACAACAGAGTTAGATTTCTCACAAAAGAGAATGATTCTTGATGGAACCAAGAGAGAAATAAAGCCTGTAGGCTCACATTTATTTTAGTCTCTGAAGCAAAGTATTTATGTGACACTTGCAACTTCCAACTCAATATCAACATAATAAAAAATTTGTTACTTTCAACAAGAAGATGTTTGGCACAATGATTTTTTTCAGCAACATCTTAAAACTCTCCAATAGGAGACCAGACATTCTTCAATCTGAGCAGAGATCCAACTCTAATCTACTCAAGCAGTAAACTATATCATATTCTCCCTCTGGAAACACAATTTTCTCCTTCCTTCCTCCTCTTCCTTCTCCTGCAAATTTCTATTCCAACCTGGGTCAAGCCAAAAGACTAGCTAGCAGGAAATTTCCTGGTGACTTTGGTGGGGAGGGAAGAATACAGGAACCTGACTGATATTGCTTCATATGAGCTGCAAAGTGATAGCTGAGGGTGGGTTTAGAATAGAACTGTGTAGAGAGGACTAAGGAACAGTGGGAGCTGAAATGCTTTTGATGACAAAGAATTATCACTTCCTTCCAATCAACAGAAAACACAGAAAGCAAACATCAAATATTCACTAAATTAAAAAAATCTGAGAGACAGACAGACGGAAACAGCAAGATATAAGAATGACATATCCACAGATATTTCAGTTTATAAAAAGCTATAAAAATAATATCCGGGGCAGTTAGGCGCCTGGATGTATCATACCAGGAGCAGTCTCAAATTTTCGGGGATAATTTGACCCCTCAACCCCCATGAAATCAAGTCCTGAAACAAAAAAGAAAAGAAAAGAAAAAACAACCAGTGAAATTTTGCTTATGAATGAGAACGTTTGCCCCCAGTACACAACTCCTACTGTACCTGTGGATATTTGGGGGTAGATTTTTTTCCCCTAATTTTAAATTAAGAAAAGATGTTGGAAGTTGCTTATATGGAAACACAAAAATGGATCATGCATGAGAGTATGTTCATATCATGAATTAACAATGATGGAAATGTATGAACCTATACCTGAAGCTTTAACAATAACAGGATGATTGATGGTATATCACACACAATTTCATTCAGTCAAAAATCATAAGATCTCAAACTCTAGTATCCCAAATCAGCCCCCCCACTTTCCCACTTTAGCATATAGGAAAATAGTCCTCAATCAGCCAGTTTCTTGTTGAAGATATATTTACTGTTTACAATCTAAGGCTAGGATCCTGAATTTAATTCCTCTTTCTAACTGAAAGCAAATTCCTATAAGCCTGCCCTTAGCTCTGTCAATCAAGACAGATTAAGACCAATGGGGCTAAATATCAAACTAATGTTCAAAAACATTAACTTCAACATTCATATTAAAAAGACCCAGACCAGACACCTCTACCTCCCAAAGAACCCAGATGAATGAAGAGCTGGCTACCCAAGAGTTGTCTACTCTACAACATGGAGTTAAAATAGGAACAGGACATTTGATGGCAGAATGGTCAGACATAAGGGGAATTCAAGGTATCTATCTGGCCAATAACAACTTTAGCCTCCGTTCAATGGGGTAGAGTGGACTCAGGAGACAGCAGTTCAGTACACGGAAAGAGCAAAGAAAAATTAAGGGAATATCTTTTGGATAAGAACTTTAGTTCAGGCCAAGAAGCCCCCAAAACTTTAGATATTATCTCCACCTAGATCTGAAGTGGATAGTAATGAATTTGTGGTTTTTCAAGGTGCTAGAATCCAAACATCCCTCATGACTAGAAAAATGATAACAGCCGGGGTTCCTGATGTTAAACAACTGCTCAACCAGGCAAAGGATACCTTCAAAAGTGGAAGGAACTCAGGGAGAACAAGGAGCCCAGATTATATTTAAAACAAGACACACAGGCGCACGCGCGGGCGCGCGCACGCACGCATACATACACACACACACACACACTCACTCCCTTCAAAAACAAAATAAAACAAAAACACATTTTGTTAGTGCCACACCAACTTAGCATCTGCTTTTACATTCACATCCACTCTGCAGGCAGGTACCAAAGCTGGCTCAGAAGAATATACATGTACCCTGGGTAAAGCCCCATAATGCTCCACCACCCAAGAGCATCTGCAGAAGAGAACTGGGAGTGCTGAGGACCTCTTCCTTGCCTGACTACCTCTATCAGACTCCCTGATGGAGAAAGGAGTGAGGCGGTTTTCAACCTTGTTACTAGAAAGCAAACTGGCAGTAGAGAGCTTTGGATTAGGGTCATCTCCTCTTCGGTAGACAGTAGTTTAAATAGGCCCTTCACTCTTCTCCAAGAACAGAAGTCCCAATGAATACTCTAATTCATTTTAGAAATCTAAATGGTGAATTCTAGAACCAATCCTATCACTCATCCCAAAATATTTTTTCTACATGTCTCTGTTACCCAAAAAGATTAGTACCCCAGATTCCCAAAGGGATTTGGGAATATAACATATAAAGGTTAACTCACTCGTCCCATCATCTGGCTCAAAACTGCCAGTATTGTTCCACGTATTGCCACTATTATTGCCATAGTTTTCATCGGTGTTGGTTGGTTCTGCATAATCAGCTGGGTTAAAGGTTCTAAAAGAGAGGAAACAAGACTTAAAAGATTCTCCAGTCTCTAAGAACTTCCACCAAATAGCACTATAATGAAGACAGTGAGACTCTTGAACCCTACTGTCCCCAAGTCCTGCACAGAATGGCCCCGCTTCACAAAACCCACTTGCTGTCTGTTGTTTTCTCACTGGCCTGCAATGTTTCATAGTAAAGCCTCAACTTCACACTTACTGCCTATTTAAACTAATATAGCACTATCCATCACAAAACTCCTATGGGATTTCAGATAAAAGTAGCAAACATCCGCATTCAAGTGAAGCTGCCAAGCAGGATTACAAGAGACAACCCAAGCAGCAACCACTGTATAAAGCAAAGAAGTAGCAGATCACATGCCCTTCCTCTTATTCATCTCAGGAATCTTCTGTGTGGGATTTGGGGTATAACTAGGAAGGAATATCTTTTGGTCTTATTTTGGGATTTCTTCAATTACTAGTCTAATCTAGAACGGGACAGTATATATTTAATTGCTTTAAGATATTACCATATCTTAATCAGTATGGCAACACCTAAAAGGAAAGAAGATAATTTATTTTCTAAACTTGTAGTCAATGAAACTTACCCCATGCCTTGGGCAGAAAATCGTCCTCCCCTCCTACCAGAGCCACCTAGAAATAAAACGAGAAAAAGTTTTAAAACATATACTCACGTCATAAAACTTACTGAGGCAGCCTTGGAAAAACAGATGCTGAGTGGATAGTTTAATAAAATGCTCTCTCTACAATTTCACGAAGAGGATCAGTTAATACGAGTCAGTCATTACTAATGACAAAGATCTCCTCTCCTGTCTAATCTATTACATACTCATTTAAGTACATTAATACCCACTACAAAAAACTGCTTTGATTGTATCCCTCACCCAAAACAACAACCCTCAGTTCTTGCAAAGAACTTCAAAAATGATGGCAAGGAGATCTCATCTCAACTCCTTTGAAAAAAAAAAATCTCTGCAAAATAAATTTCTTGCCCCCCAACCTAGCAAGATGCTCACCTCTGCCTCGTCCACGGCCCCTTCGGCCTCTTTCTGTGCCTCTTCCAGATGGGCCTCCAGTCTTAGCACCATCCAGTCCATTTTCCTGACCTCGAACTAAAATATAAAGATGCACAAACAAGTAATCACAACAGGGTCAACAGGACATATTCAGCATAAGAGAGGATTAACTAGAATATGAAAACAATCTTAATTTCTAGGGTATTTGGAGAAAGGTGGGTAGTTTTACAGATTTACACTGGCTAGAAACAAAAAATCGTACCCAATCCCACCGGGATTTAACCCACATGTGGATTAAATCATTACTACAAGTATTTATGGGATGGTCACAGGAGAATTTGGCAGCACAGATAGAAAAGAATTTATGCAAGGGAGACAAAGATCTTCATAAAAGGGAAGGTGATTAGGAGAAAGGAGGAGTGGTTTAAGACTTGAATCCTCCCCTTGGAGGACACTGCTATGTTCCTAAAGACTAAATCTCTTAATAGTAATTGACATTAATTATTAAGGTTTGCAAAGCATTTTATATACATTAACTTATTTGATCCTCACAACCTAATGAGATAGGTTTTATAGGTAAAAGGTATTCTCTCCATTTTACAGATTAGGAAACCAAGGTTTAAAGAGGTTACATGACTTGCTCGTTGTTCCATGACTACTAAATGTAAGAGGCAGGTACTGGACTCAGGTTTTCCTGACTCCAAGTCCAGCCCTCTATCCACTATACCATGCTGCCTTGGTAACTCAGTAGGTTTTAATAAAACCACATGCATACACTCTCGTCCACGACTGGCGCCTCTTCCCCGCCTTGGTGGTCCACCACGTCGCCTGCTATAATCCCTATCTCGGTCTCGATTCTCTTTGCCTTCCTCATTGGATTCCATCTGTCCGCCATCCTTCTGTCCGGAGACTCCCTTCTTTTCCCCACCCTTTTCCGGGGAATGCTAAAAAAAAGGGGGGGGGGGGGAGAAGTTACTAGTCTGCAAGGCACAGACTATTCATAAGATATCTTAGACTATGCCTGAGAAGGCTAAGCATTTTCTCATCTTCTTTTCTCAATTTCAAGTTCTACGTATTCCCCCACATATCATCCTCCACACAGACGAAAACCGTAAACAAAGTTAAAAAAATGTCAAGTTACAGGCCAATAATCCTTAAGTATAGTTCTTCCTATAGGTGAAGCATCTATAGTTCCCAATCAGCTAAGACCATGTCCAAGACCATTTTCAAGATGTGTCCATCTACAATGCTTGGATGATCAACCAAGAGACCTTACTTGTCCTTCTCTCTCATATCTGTTTATTTTGAATTGAGCATCAATTGTTTTTGAGTTAGTATATCCCTCCAAAAGATCAAATATCCTATTCTAACCAACTGAAACAAAAAGGAGACTAAATGCTTAACTTGAGAAAATGTTTATTTTGTTTTGCTTTTTAGACTACTAATACAATTTTTAAAATAAGTTTTATTGATGTCTCTTGTTCTCATTATCAGTCATTTCTGGAAATACTTCTCTTTCCCATTGGTTGTTACTCAATTTTCCTTACAACAAAGAAAAATTGAAGCAAAAATTCCTGATTCAGAGACTGTGCCTGATGACATATATAACATTCTACCTTTGTAGAACCCACCTCTCAAGAAGAGGGGGAAATATATTTCATTATTTGTTCTAAAGGCCCATTATTAGTTTTTTAATGATTTAAAGTTTTTTAACTTAAATAAACTGTAGAGTTCAAACATTTACATAGTTGCAGAAACTGTATATATTCTTTTGGTTCTGCTTATTTCACACAAATCTGCCCAAGCTTCTCTCGATTCCTCATAATTGTCATTCCTTTCTGTACAATAATCTTTTGTTATATATTTACTGCAGTTTATTTGGCAATTTCGCCAATCAATGGATACCCACTGCTTCCAATTCTTCACTTAAAAAAAAAAAACCAACCTGAATATTTTGGAATACATTGGATCTTTGTTTTATCTGTGATTTATTTTATTTTATTTTAGGCAATTGGTGTTAAGTGACTTGCCCAGAGTCACACAGCTAGTAAGTGTTAAGTCTGAGGCCGGATTTTAACTCAGGTCCTCCTGACTTCAGGGCCAGTGCTCTATCCACTGTGTCACCTAACTGCCCCCAGTTTTGATTTCTTTCAAGTAAATGCCCAACCATGGAATTGCTTGGGCCAAGGGTATAAATAGTTTATTCACTTTTCTTTTTCCTCAGCTAAGGACACTAATTCAACCTCTAGTTTATAGTCAAAGGAATTTTCTCCTTTTTTTTTTTTGTGCTTTTTGGTGAGGCAATTGAGGTTAAGTGACTTGCCCAAGATCACACAGTTAGTAAGTGTCAAGTGTCTAAGGCCAGATTTGAACTCAGGTTCTCCTGACTCCAAGGCTGGAGCTCTATCCACTGTGCCACCTAGCTGCCCTTAGGAATTTTCTCAAAGAATGAAATTTAGATTTGAAGAAAAGACTTACAGCTCAGAAAATCAGCTAAATGATTTTGTAAACATAAACCTCAGATAAAGTAAACTTCTTAGAGATATTAAAAACCTCAAATTCAACACATCCTAGTTCACATAGTAATACTACATATTCAAAATCAGTCACAGACAAATACTTTAAAATAGCTGGGCAGGCAAAGGTTCCATTTCATAACCCAAGATAGTCAGGAGATAGCTCCCCAATCATTCCATTGAACCAAACAACAATGGCCATGATCCTCAGCAATTAACTAAACTATTAAAATAAAAAGTGTCCTTTCAAGAACAAATGTTCCATCCATAGTTCCTAAGTGTCATCTCATCTTCCAATCCAAGTTACCTCCCCGGACAGCACATTACAACAAGTGAGTCATTTTATGTTCAGGGTAGCTTCAATGGATCAGTAATTGCCCATGGTTAAATTGCTTCATTGTTACAAGAACCTTTAGAACACTGGAAATTAGATTCAAGTAAAACAAAACAACAGTAATGAATGACCACTGGATTTTCTGCTGATATTAAAGGGGAAAAGAGAAGACCATAACAGAAGTATCACCTCCCTCCTCTTTACTTGATGGCAGTGTCATCACTGCTGACATCTACACATAGGTCCTATAAAATAAAGGGTTGCTACAATTTTCTCAACATCACGTTAATCTGTTTGGATCTCAACTATCCAACCAAATTCAAAATCACTGCAAAATTATCTTGTTTCCCACTGATTTCATGAAGTAGTGATGAATCTATGGCCTAATTCCCTAGCTTCGGTCTTCCCTTGCATGATTATGGAAGGTTAGAAGTGCTAAGACAGATGTGTGAAAAAGATGGCGTGGGTTAAAAAGCATACCATAATTCATATCTGGGACCTCAAGCCAAAGGCCCTCATCTTCATAAAAATCTCGTAAACTCATGGCCTTAAAATTCAAACTCCTTCAAAATTAACCATTATTCACAAACACTTTGAGAAGAAAAAAAGCAGGGAGGGAAGGGGTGGGAGTAGTGTCTTCACTGGATATTTTTGTTCTTATAAGTCTTTTGCTTAAGAAAAATTAAGAGAATTTCTCATTTTATGCTAAATATTTGTCCTTCCCTCATTACCAAGATAAGGTCAGGAAAGCTACAAAACTTACTGTACCTCTTTCTTCATTAGAAATAGGTTCAAAAGATGAAACAGCACTGTGTGATCCTCAGTCAATGTTTATGGGAATGTACTGAGTTTAGAATGGTGCAAAGATTGTGACTTTGACTCTTCAGCAATGAAAATGACCAATCCAGTCTCATAATTAATAACTAAGAGTATCAAATGCTGCCTCTTACAATTCAAATATAGCCTTGAAAATAGTCACTAGCCTAGAATGAATTACAATTTATACTGAGCAAAGCAGAAAAGACACATTTTATCTGTTTACCTACCAGTGTTATCTCCTTAAAGGAGGGCTAACTGGTTAAAATAAAGGACACACCATATACTACACACACACATAATTAATCTTTTGCCACCTTTTAATATGGCTGTAATCTGCTGCAAACAAACTTCCAAGAAAGTTCCCTACTATCTGGGAGGATAATGCTTTATTGAAAGTATGCAACCCCATTTGGTATTATGCAGGGATCATATCTTCCAATGGCACCCAATACTACAATATCATAAGCTAAGCACCCTACCGTATCCGGGTTCCCCTCCAGCAGCACATTGATAGCTCTATTGACATCTCCATTGCAGTCATGCAATGCAATCACACATTCATCCTGGTTCTTGCCTGTGATATCAATCAGCTGCAAAGAGAAAGACTATAATCACCATGAGCCAGTTTGTATCTCTCATAAAAAGAAAATTGCGGGGCAGGAGAAGGGGAGGAATCAAGGAAAAAGAGAGATGGAACAAAGAGAAAATAAGTACCTTGAAAAGCAAACTAAATAACATTTTGAGGTTCTGTATCTAAAAGCAAAATATCATCAATACCAGGTTGGCTATTATGGTTGTACATAGGAGTTTATCTATACTAGCTTAAAACCAACTCGGTACCAAATAGAGAACAAATCCTCAACACACATTTATTAGTGAAAGACAGTATATGACAGAGCCCATTGAATCTGGCACTTTAGGGCCATTGGCATCATTGGTATTGGTATCATCATCATCATCATCACTAGTATTTATATGGCACTTTAAAGTTGCAAAGCACTTCACAAATATTTTATCCTCACAACAATTTTTGGGAAATAGCTATTATTGCCATTTCATGGATGGGTAAACTAAGGCAAGAGATAGGTTAAGTGATCTGTCTGGGGTCACACAACTAGTTAAGAATGCAACCATATTTGAACTTTGATCATCCGATTCCAGGTCTGGTGTTCTATCCAATGTGCCACCTACTGCCCCATTTAAATGTACTATATATCTTTGTATGTGCAAAAATATAAGAAGTGCCACAATAGTTTGAAGTTGATATGGAATATACATCAACATTTATTCAACAATTAACTGGAAAATAAAGGTCAGTATACAATACAATACAGAATATACCTGCCCAAAGGAGTAAGAAAGAAATTCAGACTAGGGGGAAAACTTGTTTCTTGGCTAAGGTCAGTGACATTTCAGGCTATAAACATGTATAAATGACATAATCCTTCCAATGTCCCTGGAAGAGTCAGCATCTTGAGCTATGCAGGAGGCATGTATGGTTACTTGATAGCAATACTTCCACCCATCACCCTCCCCTTAAAAACAAAACAAAACAAAACAATAAATCGGTATACTCACTTGCTTCACCTTCTCCTCAAAGTCAGCATCATTGTGGTCCGATATCATCTGTGCAAGTCTTATCTGTTCTGCAGTAGCCTATGAGTTGAGATGGAAATCAGGAAAGTATGATCAGGAGAGTACAATGAGAAACAGTGAGGACAGTGCTGTGCAAAATAATTTCAAATCTCTTTCCTTTTCCTTTAGAAATTCCTTTTCCCCTTACAAATGATAGGGCACCAAGGGCTCTAAGACCATCTGACAGTACTTTACAGTTTACAAGGTATTTTCACATATACATTTCATGCTATTTCATTTGATCCTCATAACGACCCTCTAAGGTAGATAGGGCAGGTATTATTATCCCCATTTTACAGATAAGCAAACTGTGGCTCAGAAATGTTAACTGGCCTGTCCAGAGACATAAAAAAAAAGTAGCAGGATTAAGATTTAGCATTCAATTCCAAGTCTTCTGAATTTTAGTGCTCATTCTGTTCATGCTGACATTGAAGCAGCAGTGAACACTGAATAGAGGACTTAAAGAGGGAGAAGTAGCCATTAATACAGTTCTTATAATATCCAGTCATTTCACTAAAAAGAGGAAGCTGCTTATGTTTAGCAGAGTTTTCCCCTTAGCAGCAAAAGTTTCCAAAATGCTACACTCAAAGTGACTTGGTCACAATTCTAAATGTATGCTCAATTGTAATTTTTATTAGAAAAGCCCACCCAATTTCCAAGGTTGCCTTTTTGCTTCTAAGGCTAGAAATATCTTAAGAACAGCAGGTATGGCCTGAGGATAGAAACAATCTTCCTACTGAATGACCATTACAAGAATATAAGGTACTTAGGACCATGACGACTTGCTTGATAACAAACTTAATGGGCACCAGACTCCATTTGCTGGGAACAATCCTGAGAATAGTTGTGAAAAAGAAAAAGTAAAGGGAAGTCTCTCTGAGCAAAAGTCTCCCCCCACCAAATAATGGAATACAATTCATTTATTCACATTAATAACCAAATATGAATTATTTACTCACAATAGGGACCAATCAACAACCAATTGGCTATAAAAAATAGATCTACATCAACCTTCAAAAGAACCTACAAAGTTTGGTTGCCAGATGGTTAATTTTCCCTTTTAAACCTGTAACTGAACAATGCCTATGAGTATCTTACTGGACAATTTTTGAAAACTAAAAAACAAACAAACAAAAAAAAAAACACCAAGCCCAGGGAAGAGGCTAAGTCCAGATGTGAAGGGAAACACAGATAAAACTTCCAAAGGCCCCAAAGGAACAAGACAAAAGAGAAAGAAAAGATCAGACCCAGAAGCAGGGAAATGGCTAGCCATACATAGGCTAAAGAGTGGAGTCACAGTGAAAAATCTAAGAAATTAGGAAGATACTATACTAGAGGGCCAGAAAAGGAAAAGAAGTGCTATTACCAAATTGTAGCCATAGGGGGTCTAAAAAACAAAAGTCACATAATCCCTTTTCTCAAAGCCTCACACAGCAACATGAAACAGCAAAAGAAAAAAAAAGGCAGTTTTTTCTAACAGCACAAAGAAAGCATCCAGGGAGAATAAGAGACCTAAGATCTAATTCTGAAAAACAGAATACAGAAAGAAAACTCAAATCACAGAATAAAGCTGTGCTGGATGTAAAGCTTTATCAGCCATTTGGGTTGCCTAAACTCTACTTTCTCTCAAATTTCTTTACCTGTGGCCTCTGCTTGTGCTGTGTCTGGTTCTGTGTCTGTGTCTGCTCCCAGTTTCCCCGGGCTCGGTTAGTGCCCACTGATGTCATCATTTACAGTATATACAAATAACAGTATTTACAAGGTAGAATGCTGGAAAAAAAAAGTTTCTTATTAGAGATCAAATATGATCAAAATATATTTACCACTCACTGTCCTCACTCCCCTTTAAAAAAAATTTTTTTTTAAATCATTCGTCTCTAGGCACAGCAAACCAAGAGAATGTATCTGCTTTTAGGGAAACATCATATTTAGATTTATAAGCTTCTTAAGGCCTTGGTTTTTAACCCGCTTTGTAAAGCACAGTGTATTGTATTTATTATTGGCTTGATGATGGGCAGTCACATAAAAAGTACAGAAAAGTTACCAGCTCATTCCAGTTCTACTAGTCCTTAGCAAGTGGGGCCATCTTTAAGTCTACACAACATGCTGATTAAAACACACACACACATACACACACACACACACACACACACTCCCTAAGACTCAAAACCCCTTCAAACAAAGAGTCTGCTCAATTACCTTTACGTTATAGAATTATCAAAAAGTACGAGTAGAGGTCTTCTATGAAGGGGATCACTAAGCCACACGCACAACAAGAAAATCAGTTCAAAGTATCCCTACCTAAAAAAATACATAACCTCTACCTCTGAAATCCAGGCTCTATCTCTAATACTCTCACCTCCTTTAAATTTTTATCTGTATACATGATGTGCAGGCTTCTTTTTTTTTAAACTAGAGCCTTCCAAAAGAGACATATTAACTCCAATGACTTTGCCTGGAATCTCAGCTCCCCCAGCAATCCTTGTTCCCTGTCTTTGCAGTGGCTTCTCCACCTAACCTGCTGGTCAACAAACCCCAAACTCTTAGGGTTCACAACTGCCATTATTATCTGCCACAGCTCTTCTGAAGTCGAATATCCGAGAACTGCAGAATTAGCCAAAGCCCAAAGCACCCAACACAATGTCTTACTTGTAAGGGGAAGGAAGCATTATAAAGTCATCTCATGACTGCACTGATAGAATACTATATGGGAAGTTCACCCTAGCCTGAATATAAACTTAACTCTAACTACTCTAACAAGAAACAGTACAACTGGAGTACCACACATGCCTTCAGCTTAAACGCAACCTCAGCTGCTGTTTTTAGTTTAAAAAACAAAAACAAAACCTTTCTTTTGCCAGTGGTAGGCAAAAGGAGAGCAGGATATTTTACCACTAATTTATTCTCTTTCAAAGGTGCTCACTTTTCTAATAAGTTTGGAAAAATCTGACCCAAATAATTTTTGGCTAATGGAAATTTATTAATTAATTAGTCAATTCTGGGCTCCTTGTAATTGACACAATATGGCCACAAATAGGATGCTGAATTTGGTAAGGAGGTTTTGATATTTCACCTCTTTCATTTTCTTGGATAGTCCACAGAAAGATACTTGAATTGCTAATAAAAACAATTTATTTGGGATAAGTTCTTTACAAATTTGTGACACTATGGTTACATACATCCTTGTTTATTACAATGTCATTAAAAGTTTCATTTTCTTCCATTTCCAAAAAGTAGTTAAGCCTTTACGGAACATTTTAAGGGAGAGTCAGATACCAATTTTAACAACAAAAAACATACAAATATGTCAAGGGAGAACAGGCTATATGCTACACAGTAGTCTATCTGTCTAGGCTGGAATCATAGTCAAGTTTTAACATTTCATCTACAAAAATACAAACATCATTTAGCTAACCACCACTGCATCCAAACCAGCAGTGGAGATAAAGCAATGTCAAGACAAGAACAAAAGTATTCATATTGGTTATATTTTAAAATTGCCTACTCTGGGGTTTCTAATTTAATATGAGTTGGCACTTCCCATCTCAACCTACAATTTCTAAATGTTGACTTCCTTCCACCACACATTTGATTTCAATTTGAAAGGATGAGTTAGGAGACCATATGCTAGCTACACAATTATATTGCATAGCTACAGCTATTTGCACAATTGTCTGGACCTTAATTCTGTTTGGAACACTTAATGGAAAAACACTACCAATCATTTAAGACATTCTTTTGATCACTAGTGACTGAATTCCCTTATCTCTCTTACAAATGCTTGGTAAAATGTGATTGAGACAACTTGCAAAACAGTGAGCAAGGTCAGCAGGAAGCAACTGATCTAAAAGATTACTTGGAACACAGACTCGGTACCTTCTAGTAGTGGGCAGGCAAATACATCCACAGTTGGCAGGGAACAAGAGAACCATCTTACATACTACCTTCCTTAAAGTATAAGGATGTGCTGATGGGGAGGGAAAAGGAGAAATCTCAAATTAATTACTAAAGCTTAAAGGAACACAACATGATAGTAGGTAGAGTGCAGTTTCAAAAGGAGCTATCAGACCTTCTTGGAAAAACCAACAACTTAAAAAACAGCCATTGAGAGGTTAAAAAATATTTTACTGAAATCAATCGATCAACAAACATTTATTTGCATACCTATATGTGCAGTACCATGGGGTATACAAAAGTAGAATGAGACATGGTCCCTGCCCTCAAGCTTACAATCTAATTGGAAATACAAAATGCAATTAGAAAATAAGTGCTATGAGTGCACTAAACTAAGCACAACAATTCAGAGAAGACCACACAAGAGCCTGGCAGATACATCTTTTTGCTTCTAATGTCAACTCTAATTCGTAAGTAGCTTTAGTAAGTTGACCACCTGGCTATATGTTCTCCCCACATCCAATCCCACTCTGACAAGACAAAATATCTCCCCATAAAGGTATGCTTGGTACACCTTTAAAAACAAAGAACTTGTTTCTATAACCTTTTTACTAGTCCACAAAACTCAGCTAATTAGAAATAGAACTCCTGTCTGCTGTGGAAGTAATCAATCCCACTGAAAGGTTTGGGTCATTTAAAATCAGGGACCTAAACTATTCAACAGGGTAGCTATTAGGATGCCAAACATTTTAATTCTGTAGTAATGAAGAGTTTCAATCGGGGCTGAATATATTGCAGCACAAGCACATCACGTTTCCCAAGCCAGGATATAAGAAGGAAAAAGGCCCCACTAGCTTTATGAAGCTAATAGTAAAGGATATACTAAGGCAAAAAACTGCCTGTTACTGTGGTCGTTTTCTTTTCCTAACATCCCACCAAAGAGGTGGCTGTTTCAGGCAGTTTGTTATGGCATCAGTTTACAAAGCAATCTGGGTACTCTCCACAATGTGAAAGAATTCGATAAATTTGGAATTTGTGCCCCATTATGGGAAATGCTTTGCACGTAGTACGGACTAATGAACAGTTCTTGAACTCAATTGAGAACACAGTGATAAAGACAGCCGGTGCTCCAGGGCAATATACCCAAGGGGCTTGCAGCAGGGAGGTCAAGCTCCCCCACATGCTTTTTATTGTTGAAAGTACCCAAGGCTCCACTGGGCAAAGATTAAAGGTATTAATTAAAATACCTCCAAAAATCCAGAAGAGGAGATAAAGTGAGAAGAACTAGAGCAGCTGACAAAGGGGCTAGGAGTGGAGAAGAAACAGGGCGGAGGGCCGACGAGTAGAGATTCAGTTCCAGAAATACAAGGGTAGCCGGCAGGACCAATCGCCCACCTCTCCCCAAAAGATTAATTCTTTGCACTCAAATTTAATAGCCCATACGGAAATAAACCAAGGGGCGTGGGCAACTTCGTCCCACCGCTCCCCTGATCTCTCCGTGCTCAAACCCAGGCCGAGTCCTAGCTCGGGTGAGGGAAGGCCCCGAGGAGGTCCTAAGGCTGGAGGGGGAGAATGCCGCGGCCTCCTCCCCCCACCCCCGCCCCGACCTTCTCCTTAGGCACAGGGTTATAAAAAGAGAGGAAGGGGGAGCCCTACCTCAGGCCCGGCCCAGACCGCGCTCACTCCCTCGCGCTCCACTCCCCCAGGCCCGAGCCGCATGGCCCCCCCCGGCCACCACGCGCCCCGCCCGGCCACGCTCCCAAATCTAGGCCCCGGCTCCGGCGCGGCCCAGTAGGCCGCAAGCCCGACCATAAACAAAACCCCGGCGGCTGGCCCAGAGTGGCGGGGGTGGGGGAGATGGGGGAGCCTGGGGCCCGCGCGACTGGAGGGGGGGGGCACAGCGCGCGGAAGGGGGAGGGGAAGCCCGCACCGCGCGAGGTAGGGGGGGCGGCTGGTGGGAGAAGGGGCCACGGCGGGAGGAGAGAAAGGGTGAAGGGGGAATCGCGGATTTAAAGGGGCCGCGGACAATACCCGGCCCCGCCGCGCTGCCGCTACCGCCGCCGCCGCCGCCGCCGCCGCCGCGCTCCCAACTTTACCTCAGTCTCCTCCACACTGACACCCCGGGCCGCGCCGCCCCTGTCACGTGATATAGGCCCCCCCTTCCCCCCCCCCCCCCCCCCCCTTTTTCCTCTCGAGCTCGCTCTCGCGCCTTTCCCCTCCCACTCTCCTTCCTTCCTCCCTCAGCACGTGACACGCAAAGAGGCGCGCGCCCGTCGTCCTGCCACGAGCCACCTTCTCTGGATCCGTGAGTCCGCCTCCTCCGGTCACATGATCTACCCATGACCTCCTTTTCCTCCCTGCCGCGGAGTCCCGCCTTCCTCGCACGCGCTTTCTCCTTCCACCTTGCCGGTGTCACGTGCCAAGGGAGAGGAGGAACTCGTCACGCTTCTCTCCGCCCTCTTTCCCTTTCCCTCCTCAGTTCCGCCCTCCCCCCACCAGTTCCCCGCGCTCCCCTGGCCGCCATGTTTTCCAACAGGGCCCGGCTTTGGCTTCCCCCATAAGGAAATGGCCAAGGAACACCAAGGAGCCCTAGGGCCATCGCTACTACGGAGCCCGAGCTAACGAAGCTTGAAGGAGGCCATGGCGTCCAGCAGTAACTGGTTGTCCGGGGTGAACGTCGTGCTGGTGATGGCCTACGGGAGCTTGGTGAGGAGACGAACCCCTCCCCCCACTCCCGGGGCCAGCCCCAAGGCCAGCCAACCACGCCTTCCCGGCTCCGCGCCCACCCCAGCTCCCCTCGTGCGGGCTCCCCCAGCCTGCTGACCCGCCCCCCCGGGGGGAGGGCCCAAGTGTGCTTCCCCGGACCCCCGAATTGGGGGTGGGGGTGGGGAGCAGCGGGATCTCCCGGAGCCCCCCTCCAGGCGGCTTCTAGCCCGTCTTTCCCGCCAGGTATTTGTGCTGCTGTTCATTTTTGTGAAGAGGCAGATCATGCGTTTTGCTATGAAGTCTCGAAGAGGCCCCCATGTCCCTGTGGGACACAATGCTCCCAAGGTGGGTGTCTAGAAATTCTCGAAATTCGTAATCAGTAGCTTTGTTTAAGTGGAGTGGTAGGATTTTCTCATCTCTGGGGTATATCTTTTAATCTACTTATGGTCTATCTACATCCTTTAATTTGGGTTTGGGGAAAGAACACGGTGTTAGGAATGATGATCCCCTGTTGATTGATTACTGTCGGTTAGTGTCTTCTGATTCTTCCCGCTGTGATTCATTGCCTGAATGCCAGTGCTGAGTGATTCTAGAGGGTTTGAGTCTCTGGGTGTTGGAGAACTCTAGTCCCACTTCTTCTTGGGTGCTTTTCTGCCACATACCAGTAGTCAAAAGGATTTTTATTTGCTTCCTGTTCCTGATTCAGTTGTTTATGCCCATCCCCAGAGTTTACTTCATTTCCAAGTTGGTGAGAGGTAGAGAATAAGCTAATCCATGAGGGGATACATATTCTAAGATGATAGCTCTTTTTTTCTCTCCATGGGAGCAGGATCTGAAGGAAGAGATTGACATCCGACTATCCAAGGTCCAGGATGTAAAGTATGAACCCCAGCTTCTTGAAGAGGATGATGCCAGACTTTTGCAGCTGGAGACACCAGGAAATCAACGTATGGGGCGAGTTTTCCACCTTGGGGATGGGTAAATTTGGAAAGCCAAGGGTTCAGAGTTTTTGGGAGCTGAGAGAGAAATATGGAGATGCTCAGAAACCATAATTTTAGTTATTTTCTGTATAGCTAATCTGAGAAAGCAAGCTTAGTAGTGAAAGGGTTGTCATATAAGGGAGGTGGGAGTGGTATTACTGATTCCAGCCATTATCCTTACAGATTGCTACAACTACCTGTACAGGATGAAAGCATTGGATGCCATTCGTGCCTCTGGTAAGAGTCGGTCAGGTATGGGAAGGTCTCTTCAGGAATTTTGATTCTCCAGATAGAGAAGAAACTTATGACCTACATCATGGGGATAAGAATAAATTCGGCTTCTACTTAATCAGGCATACCTGTGTTAGGAACTCCCTTGAATCTAAAGAATCTGTTTCCTCCTCTTGAGGAACTGAGTTGATAAGGAAATGAATTCTCCTTTGAGATATTTTGCCAGTGATTCCCTAGCTTTTGAATGGGAAGGATGGGAGCAGGGAAAATAGTTTACTGAATTCTTAAAAGGCATGAAAGATCCAATTCTGTTTCAGCTCAAATTAGGAAAGGGCTGGTTAGATGGCCCAATGTATAGACTGCTGGACCTGGAGTCAGGAAAACCTGAGTTAAAATCCACCCTCAAATACTTACTGTGATCCCAAGCAAGTCACTTAACCTCTCTTAGCCTTAGTTTCTTCTGTAAAATGGGAATACTATACCTCTTTGGGTGGTTGTGAAGATCAAATGTTATATTTGTAAACCTCTTTGCAAAACTTAGATGTATCTAAATGCTAGTTGTTAATATTGTTATTTGTTAACTTGTACATTCTATGACTTTTAAGGATTTGTACAATGCTATTTCTAGAAAAGAATAAACATCTAGTCTTAGCATTTATTTTACAGATAAGGAAACTTGTACTTAGAAATGTAAAGTGACTTTATAAAGGTCATAGGCTAGCTAATGTGTGGTAAAACCTGAGTCTCTTGACTCATACCCTATTACTCAACCATCGTCTTAGCTGCCTTCTTTGATAGAAGCACATGGTCCCTAGGAAAAGCATTCCCTAAGTTTGGACAGTCCCAGCCTGGAACCTATCCTTTTGCAAAGGAAGGCGTTGTCCTAGAGTTCAGAAGTAGACAATCCAGAGGGGGGGAGAACAGATATTCCAAAGCATTAGGTTTCAGGCCCTAACTTGAATTCTGTCTTCTTTGAGACTAAGTCTTGCATTCCCCATATCTAATCAAGCTGAAAGGTGATCACAAGAGCAGGTATAGGAAGAAATAGTTGGAGCCAAAGCTGTAGCATGTTTATCCATATATACCCACATTTTAAAAATGCTCATAGAATCTAAAAGGGCAGGAAATAGATAAATAAAGGGCCACATAATCTACCATTTGTTACCATTACCAAACAGTTGTTGAGGACTGGATGTCTGGTTTCTGTTGCTCCCTCCAAAATTTCCTAATTTGAAGAATTGATCAAGATTACTTGGAAATAATTAGCAGGGAATTTCTTGACCAGAAATGCATGAAAAATATTTTCATCTTGTCCTTCATGATCTCTTCAGAGATCCCATTCCATTCAGAAGGCCGGCATCCTCGTTCCCTAATGGGCAAGAACTTCCGCTCCTATCTGCTGGAGCTTCGAAACACAAGTACCCCCTTCAAGGGTGTCCGAAAAGCTCTCATTGATACCCTGCTGGACGGCTATGAGACAGCTAGATATGGAACTGGTGTAAGTCAGTTGATCTTTTTGCTGCATATAGATTTTTTATTTCATGTGGGAATGGTAGAGAACAGAGCTTAAAAGATCCTCATTCTCTTTTTTTCTCCTCAGGTCTTTGGCCAGACTGAATATCTACACTACCAAGAAGCACTGAGTGAACTGGCTGCAGCGTGAGTTTTGGTAAAACGTGTCAATGTGGGACTGGTTGTGGGTTTCTTTCTTTTTTTTTTTTTCTTCTAATATATATTAGAGTACCAAACAGTACTGGACTGACACTAGGGTGGGACCATCACCAGAAAATAAAGCAGGCAAAGTGTCTGTGATGCCAGGCAACTCAAGAGTTGTATTTTTATATACAGCTTACATTTTTATGTATTTTTACATACAACTTAGAAGACACCTTAGAGCTAAGATTGAAACCTAGGTCTTCCCATTTCCAAAATCAGTGTTTTTCTGTTACTCCAAACTGCTCCTCTGTTCCTTCCATCTCAGAGTAAAAGCTATTTTGCAAGCTAAGGAAAAATTCCTTCAACCCTGGCACACAAACCTTTGTTTGAATCCAGTCCAGTAGAATTCCTTATCCCCTAGGACCCTTACTATTATTGCGGTGTCCTTTTTAGTCTTATAATAGTAACAACTTAAGTAGCAGCTATCCTTAGTGTCTCATCTGGCAGTAGCAACCCCATTAGACCCACCAGACAAAAACATTGTAGTTAAGCTTTGATTACACTAAGAGAAAGGAACCCCAAAGTTTGGTTGATCCTTCTTGACTGGTTTGGAATATGTTGCTTCCCCTAGACACCCTAGATTTAGTTTCGTTATGTTAGGCTTGTGCAAGCATTCAAATGAGAGATTCTGGGTAGTAAGGGTAAACTATTCTCAAATTTTTAATTAGCATTGATAATGTAGAGTTAATTATATAGAGAAATACATTCTATTCCCTTCTGTCTTAAGATTTAATTTGGGTCTTTCTTAAAGGAAAGAAAGGGTTTGTATATCTCCTACCTCCTCTCTTTTTTGCCTCTTGAAAAGAATTGTTTTATTCTTTAAAAGCATATAAAAGAACACTTAGAGCTGTCAGAAAAATAAAACAGCAAGATCTGATTGAAATCAAGTAGCAAGTCTTGTAGAAGTCAGCAAAACCTGAGTTAAAATTCACCCTCACTTTTTCCTGAGCTGTATCTGTAAAGTGAAGGAAATGGTTAAGAATTTAGATGATCTAAAGATATCTGTTAGGCCCTCAGTCCATAAATATTAATTAAGTGCTTACTGTGTGCCAGTCATTGCTAAGTACTAGAAAGGCAATACAAAGACAGAAGTGGAACAGTGCCCCCAAAGAGCTTACATTCCAAAGGAGAGACAGCATTTACCTACAAAATATAGACAAAACCAGCTTAGAACCAACCACTCCCTTCCCTTTTAAATCATAAGGTTTCAAGCATTCTACCTTTCCACATTCCTCTCCCCTCCATTTACTCTATGGTCCATCCAGACTCAACTTGTGGTTCCTGAATGACACTTCCCAAGTTTGTGCCTCGTTAGCTGTTGCCAAGGGTAGAATGCTCTCCTTCCCTGCTCTTCTTAGAATTTCTGGTTTCCTTCAAAACTCAGCTTAAGTACCACCTTCTTTCTATTAGAAGCTTTTCTAGATGCCTCCAAGCTGCCAGCCCCCTCCTTCCCAAAACTATCTTACATTTTGTCCATATTCTATAGGTAAATGCTATCTCTCCTTAGGAATGCCTCTGCCAGATGCTCTTTCTCAAAATGAAATTGAATTTTAGCAGAGAGTGAGAGTGAGAGAGAGAGAGTGTGAGTGTGAGAGTGTGTGTGTGTGTGTGTGTGTGTGTGTGTGTGTGTGTGTGTGTGTGTGTGTGTG